AGCACCCAGGAGTCAAAGAACGAGCGTGGAATCCAATTCGGCAGGTCGCTCACTGTTTGCAGTTTCCGGACGGAGACACCAGAGGCGAGCCCAACAACACTGTAGGAGAGCTCGATCGTCGGCTTGCGTGTGGGGACACCGTGTCCCGCTGCGAGTATCAAATCAGCACTTGAGCGCCGCAATTTTCGTTTACGAGCACGTTCCTCACGTTTTGCATCCTTTCTACTGATGCCAGCGCCACCCGGAGAAGAGTCTCGTGTACCCTTTCGCCGTCTCACCTCGTCGCACTCGCCACCCTCGTCCTCGCCCTCGTTCATCTCTGAGTCCGTTGAGACGTAGTCGTGTTCCATCTCATCGGGCTCCTCAAAGACAAGAATAAAGTGTGCAATAAGGAGTTGAGTCCCTTCAGGAAGCCCGGAGCTCGTGCGAGTGCCAAGCATCCCCTTATTGGCACCACCATCGAAAACGTTGTCATCATCACACCTCTCGCTCCGGCTGTCAAACTTCGAGTCCATTGTGTTGGGGAGCTGATAACTATTCGCCACGACGCTAACATTGTCACCGCTTTTCTGTCGCTCTATTGCTGTCGCCAAGTCGTCATCGGTGAATCCGCGACGCGCAAGTCGACTTTCCGGCAGAACATCTGGTGCGAGCGTTTTGACTTTCATCCACGTTGTCTCGTCGACGGTGCCTATATCCCAGATAAAGTGGTGCGGCTTGTTTGAGTTTGGCTGCTGAATTATTCCCACGCCGCCGGTGTGGATAGCAACGACATCACAGTAGCGATTGGGAAGTGCAATGTGTATCTTCGCCGCATGCAAAACGTCGTACACCACTAAGTCAAATGAGAGACGCTTCAGGCCCGGTGTTTCATCGGTCTGTAGGTAGCAGTTCCTTACCGCGGCATTGACTAAATAACCTGCCTTTACTGACGCTTCGTAACGCATCAGCAGTTCATCTCCTATGCAAGGAGGCGTAAAGTAAACATTGCCATTTGGCGAGAGTTCCCAGTAATCCACCATGCTATGCACATCATGTACGGAAACATTGGGAAGGCCTTCCCGCTTCTTATTCACCCCATGAGAAAAAATACTTCTGTAGCTGCCACTCTCTGCTGCATGCGTGACGCGGTGGCGAGTGCGCGATGTGGGAGGGGGTGAGATGGAGACTGCCTTGACGCTGGCAGAAAGCCTCATAAGGAAGCGATAACTACGCATCAAGTATGTCTCGCATCGAATTTCCCCCTGCAGTGACGTAGCATCATCCACTTCCAGCAGCCTCTCACTGGGCGGCAGGTGCACCAACTCCGTGATACTTATCGTCACTTCGTTCCGCAAAAAACTCTGCATGCCCCTGTAGGCAACGTAGCCTAATGTCACCGCAAAAGCAATCTCAGCAAAGCGACGAATTTTTAACGACATTTTATTTCCCTCCCGCCCCTCACCTTTAACAACAACAAAAAAAAAAAAAAATAAATAGTTCAATTCACCTTATTTCCTGTTCCTCACTTCCCTTTTTTCCTCCCGTGTAACGACAAATGAAGGAAAACGACAAATAAAATAAGATTCAAAAGAAAACCCCTCGGAAACAGCGCACGGACGCGGGCAAAGCAAAAGCAAAAGCAAAAAAAAAAAAAAAGATGTCTCCATTGAACTTCATTCACGTATGTGTACGGCCTTTTTTGTTGCAAGCTGTTGTACAAATAAACCTCGGGGTCTCGCTGAGGAGTCCCGTCCCCCACTAACACCACCACCACCACCACCATCCCACACGCCTCCTCTTAACGCGTCTTCTCTCATGAACCGTAGAAGTACGCCAATAAATGGCGCAAATACGGCAGGAAAAAACAGCAACAACATGATTGCTTCTTAAAAGCACCAAACAACAGACTCCCCACTTTCCCTCCCATCCAAAAGAAAAAAAAATTCAACGAGACCCTCGTTATTATGGTGTCAGCGACGTTCAGTTCGATTCCTTCATCCCTCTGGCAGTCACTTTACACAATACAATGTGGTGTCTACTCCTCCCCTCATCCTCCCACTCTCTCTTTTGTGAGTTTTTAACACATCCCGGCGTGCGATGCCTTGCAGGGACAAACCACAAATAGCCACAAAAGCAAACAAACGAAAAATGTTCATCCAAGAAGAGAAATAACACAAATAATAAAAACGACTACAATAATAATCATCATAATAAAATGGCAACGGCATATGTTCATAACATATACAGTCACATCTCACAACTTTGCTGCATAGTTCCGGTATGTTCTGCGCTCGGAGGATGGTGGAGATGCTCCAAGTGCGGTGCGCAGTTTTAACCGGTACGTTCTTGCCACTGCCGCGGCTTTTCCTTCCTTCCATGGCGCTTCATGGCGCGCAAGTGAGGTAGGGTGGGCGTTGAGTGTCGTAACAAAGTCTCGTTGCTCCTTGTCTAGTACAAGAAACGGAAAACCGATGCACTGTTCATTGGCAGTAAACCATGCGTACGAAAGTACCTCCGCAAGAGTTCGCCGATGCGGGCTGCATGTGATCCAAATCCATCGATCCACAACAAGCATGGCTGCCTCATTTGCACCCGGCGCCAGTCCGTCCCAAGCTGACTCCAGACAAAGAAGCCCAGAACTCAAAAAGGCTAATTTTTTTGTTCCTTTATCAATTATTTTGTTGCGTCCATCATTTTCACAAATCCGAACCTTCACAGAAGGAGAATGAGCAGACGTTGCACTACGCAAGATACGCGTCGCAATCTCCTGATAGGCCTTTGGAACCCCGCTAAGCAACGCAGTCGTATCTTGCAAAGATTCCGATAACGGCTCTTTCGATTCTCCGTCTCTATAAAGCGAAACCCTATGACCCCATGGTACTGCCGCGTGCACACCAATCTTTCCCAGAGCAGATGGCACTGCCTCCAGTGGGGGAAAAAAATCTTTGCAAAGAGAAGTCGTACAAATAACAAAGCTGTACGCAGCGACACACAACTCCGCAATGGACACTGTGGCCTGTGGAATGGTTGCATAGTAATGGTGAGCAAAACGTTCATAATGCGCGAGTGATTTCATGGCAACGTCGGACATCTCTCGAATTCTTCGCCGCAAAACCTCAGATGAATCGCCGCACGAAGCATCCGCTTTTCCACTTGAACGCGGCAGCGAAAACTGGGATTCTTGTGATTTCCCACAATTTCTCACTTGACAGGTCACTTCTCTCATAAAACGTAGTAATGGGGCTCGAAGATCCACCAAGATGTGATGCATATACTCTATCCACGCACTTTTTCTTAATGCCCGCGTCGTGTGGAGGGAAGATGATGAACAAGGAGGAAGTTCCCCCAGCCAATGCCCACATTGCGGCAGGTATAAATCGACACAGAGGACAAATGCCGCCAAGGGTTCAGTCACCACCGTATTTTGGGACAGAGACTTCACAAGGAAGAGATCTTCCTCACCTTTTGGCAACTCAGACGACAGTGGCTCAAAGTCCACCTCACACGGAATAGATTGAGCCCGGCAGAACCAAAGAAAAGCAATCACCACAGGGTCTCCATGCAACCCACGGACGTAAAAACCTTCACTCGATCCTGCAGTCTTATTGATTGTGCCACCGCCAGCACTCCCCTTTTCCCTCTTATCAAGATTGAATGACATTGCCTTTGCGCGGGCGGTGTTGGAGGCGGCCTCCATGAGAGGGAGCATGGCAGGGCTGTTGTGCACCTTCAGCAGGTACAAAAACTCGGCGCATAAAGCCTCAGCAGCAAGCTGCGGCGTCATCTTCCCCCTTAGTGCGACCCACGCAGAGTAATAAAAGCGCGTCGTGAATTGATACCAATGAAGCGGCCGTTGTGGAAGCTTCGGTAGCCCCGCAAGTGACGATTCCATTGGGGTCAATTGTTTTTGCGTCGCTTCATTGACTTTTTCCTTCTCATTGGAAGCCGGTACGTCGAGGTCACTGGGTGCATCACCGAATAGCGCCTGACATCGCAACGCCCAAAGATGCGATCTCTGTCTTAGTGACAAACAGGGTAGCATGTGGCGTCTGTAGGCCCTTTCTTCCATGAGTTTGGCAATCTCCATCGCAAGGGCACCAACGTAGTCGGAGGGGCAGTCGCGGCACAACATTATTTCAGGTAATCTCATGACGGGATAAAAATAAAGGGAAACACGGGAATATCGTTCGAGAAAGAAGAAAAAAAAAAAAAAAAAAAAGGAAGAATGCCACACACATACACACACAGAGGATTGGCAAATAAGGAAAAATTAGGTCCACCTTCACCCTCTCCTCCTCCTCACCCAACATTCTCGTAAGCAGACTTCACAAAAACAATGTCGCGGCAGCAATAAATGTCCAACAACAACAACAACAACAAAAATAACTAACTTACACAAAACGGAAAACAAATAAATAAACAAATTTCAAATCAACATGAGAACAAATAGCAGATACACACATAAAAAAAAAAAAAACCGTCAGTCAAAAACAACTTCCACCTCAAACTCGATAAAAGAAAAAAAAAAAAAAAGAAACTGTTGGAAAACAAAAAAAAAAAAACCGGGACACCAAGTATTCAAACTTCGTGTCTACACGCATATGTCAGGCTGCCAGGTGTCAATGGAGCGCATGGCAGATGCAACCCCGTCAGTCCATATCGATCACCCTTTGTTTCTTCGTGTTCCTCCCTCGTCTCTCGGCGTGCCAATCCGCTTGCAATAAGGGCCATTACGGCACCCATTTCATTTGTAGCAAGAATATTATACGGCGAACGCCATAAGAACTGCAGCAGCTCTGAAGAAACACAACCCCTTGTAAGGTATTGGTAGAGACATTCACTTATTTTGTCGATATTGTGAGTTTTGGACTCAACAGAATCCTTCGATAAATTCGGATACAACTGCGGCCACACCGCTGTGAAGTGTGCCGCAGTAAATGTGACGCCAAGCTGCTTTTCACAGTGAAATAAGATGGTGCTCAAGACATCATCGGTCACGTCGTCGGAACCGCCCAAAAGAAATATGGTGTGGTAGACCACCATTTGTGGTGCCAGCGTCTGTGACCATATATTTTCCACCCACTCTGGACCAAGAAGCACCATGCGCAGCTGCTGATTTGGCGTTGCCGAGAAAGACGGTGGCTTGTTAAAAACCCGCGGGTCACTCCCGCGTCCACTTTCTTCTGGTGAGTAAGGTAGAGTGCAGGGTAGAAAAAAGAGCGCACCGCGAAGGCGGCACTCTTCCAGTAAAGCCTCCAAAAACACATCCCTCCCGCGCAGGCAACGTTCCTTTTCGTCATCCCCGTCCATCTCATCGGGGTCATCCGGATGGACAAACCCCAGGTGGTACAGCACCGCATTGTCAAAGGATTGCTCATCAAAGCAGCATGACACAAATTGACGTAACCGTTGTAGAGCAGTAAAAAGAGAAAGAAGTCCCTCTGAACTGCTGCTCCACCACAATCTCAGTCTATGTGGAGAAAATGGAACAGAAAGGGAAATCCGATTTGCCTCACCGTCTTCATTTTCTTCTTGTTGCTGCATGGATGCAGCAAAATCACGACGGCGGCGTTGAAATTCCCAAAATCCCTCAAGGGTACCGTGAATCATATAATGCATATCAACTGCATTAATCTCCGTAAATTCATGTTCTTCGACTCCTTCAACATGAGGCTCAAGCGGGATGAAAAAGGATCGAGGAAGCCACCGTGCCAGGATGTGCAATGGACTCAGGGGCGCAGTGTGGTAAAGAAATCTCAACGTGCGATGAAGAAGCGTTTGGAACGCTGTGTTGTTGGAAAAGTTTTCCGAGATAAATAAATAGTTAGACGTATTCGTGAGGCAGGAATCAATTAGTACAGGCCGTGGTAACTGGCCCTCGGTAGATTCCCTTTGCTGCCCAACCCGTTCCTCAAACCACAGTCGAAGTCGATCCAACTGATTTTGCGCCGCGGCAGGCTGCTCCACAGAAACCAAATCAACAGTGGAATCCCTGTAGGTACCGACAAGTACTACCGGCAAGTAAGGCAACCCCACACGTGGATCCCCCACGCTGTCATTGTCACCTCTCAGTGCATTTAAAACATGTAAACTCGGCATCGTTACAGCATGTTGAATTGTCTGAACTTGCTGCCATATCGCTTCCTGCATCGATTTCCAGTCATCCTGCACACGATACAAAATGTAATACACAACGCCCCGACTTGGAAGCTTCACATGTCCCGTACTAGCCACAAATAAGAAAGGGGTCGGTACCTCAACAAAGTTCACCCCAACCCGAGAGGGTTCCACACGACTGTCCCCAACAGCGGTCATCCACTGCCGCATGTTGGATGGTGAAATCTTGCTGTGACCACCCAAAGGAAGAGAATACGTAGGAAAGGGAACTTCAACGATTGTTGAAGTTCGCCGGATCGTCATTGTGTGTGGCTCCACTGCTGGTGAACAAGCGATCAAAGACACTTCATGCAAAAAAGAGCTTATAAAACTCGATTTCCCACACCCTGCTGTCCCCACCACATAAATACTATACGCCAACAGCCTCCTGTACTCATCAAGGTCTTCTGATTCACACCAGCGTAATTTCTCTTCCATAATTTCAAAAAAACTGAGAGCAGGCAATGTTCCATTGGATTCACTTCGTTGATTTACAACATTCTTGATGCACCCTGTGGTGAGTAGTCGCCGATAAACAAGATTTTGCGCAGAGCCACGTGCTTTGGCACGACAAAGCCGACGAACATGCTGCAACGAAACCTCGCTCTTTACGTCTTCTTTGAGGCGACCACAGTCCACAGAAGGAGGCTCCACGCACTCCCCCTCCGGCATCGGTAACTGGGATTCATCTCCCAAAATGGTCTTACCGTCTCCGTGAAGCTCCGCCACTGTGCCTTCTACAGTCGGTGAGTATAGTGCGTTCGCTGTGTTTTCATCCATGTTTGGAAGATCACCATCTTCGCTAGCTCGACGCCGGAGTGAAGAGCTTTTCCTCTCGGGTACGTATGCTGACTCCGTCGATAAAGTCACCTCCCCTAGTAATTGCTGGTTGGATGCTTCATCACGCAAAGGAATGCATGGTTCCCATCCAGAGGTATTCCCATCCATGACCCCTGAGTGCCGTTCATTCGGTGGCATAATCGTCTGCACGGCTGCATCCACAAAGTCGATGGAAGGAAAAATGGTGCGACCCGTTTTATTTTCTTTTTCCCGAGCGGCAGCAAAGAGTTCGAGAAAGCATCCAAGTTTTTCTCCAACACTTTCAACCAGCAATGGCAAGAAGATGTCCTCTATTCCACGTATATATTCTCGTAGAAGATCCAAGTAAATGGGAACTTCGCAGCGTTTTACAAGTGACGTATTTTGCCGCGCACCGTCTGCTTCCTTCTTAGCATGCAGCAATCCATTGCATAGATGCATTTCCTGCAAATGAGAACGTTGCAACTGAAATGCAACGCAGAACAGTATAGACTCCATCGACTCTGCAGCACTGAGCTTAATCAAAAGTCGCCGAACGACCTCAGCCTCACTCAAGCGATAAAACAGATCTTGCGGCGGCACTAACAATGACTGTGGCACTGCTCCACGTGAAGAACAAAACGTTCTCGGTGAGCCCAAGCCATCAGAAGCACAAGATGAAATGCGGGACTTCACTCCTGTCATATCCTCAGACCAAGACCCCTCAGCCTCTTTATGGGAACCTTCATGCAGCAACGGCTTCAGTTTCCATTGGTTGTCAGGTGTCTTTTCTCCTTCCGGAAACTGAAGCAAAACCTCATGTTGTTGTTGTTGTTGCTTCTGCTGCTTGGGTGAGAGAAGACTTCTTGAAGGTGACTCGCCCGTCTCAAAAAAATCCCCAAGCATAATGTAATATTGCCACTCAAGCCTCTGACACCACATAACTGCCTCATTTTCTACGCTAAAAAACCCAAGCACAACGCTCACAGATTTACTTGGATGCGTTGCCGATGAAAGGCAACGCCGTAGTCGTCGCTGCAACCCCTTTTGCCTCGCCACGTTTGATACACGGTGTGACTGCTCAAGAGCAGCAAGAATTCGTCCTTTGGAGAAGACCGTTTCGCCAATTGCCTCCCTACCACACCAGCCCTCAGTCAGCCGGGAAAAAATCAAGGGATCAATAAGAAACTTTTGCAGCCGCGCTTTGGCGTCAAGTAAGCTGTCATCCGCGATTCGCCCTGTACCCGCACAATGGTTCTCGCCACTTATTTCTTTCTCAGCGCCGTGATCATGACCATCGGCATTGCCACCATCATCGTCATCATAATCTTTCACCACGAATGCCCCCAGTGAGCACCAAAACGACAGGTACCGCAAGAGTGATGCGGATGCGCCATCGTCAGCATACAATCCCTTTTCCCCTTGGAGAAGAGCCCCGACATCCACCTCCAGAACGGCGTACACCACTCGTGTAGTTGGCTGCAAATTAACATGGCCATCTTCCTCCCCTTCTCTATTGAAGTGAGGGAGTCGTGCAAGGAGAAAACGGACAATTTCTTCCGGTAGAATCTCGGAGGCCCGTGCGTCTAGATCAAAAAAGAAACGATTGTTGTGTCGCTGATGCTGTGAGTTTTCCGTGCAGACGGACGCCACATTGGCAAACCACGCACGCACCGCAACGAGAGAACGGGATGCGCTCGCTGACAAGGCCTCAAAAGACGCGCCTACACCCGCCATCACAATCTCACAATTGCCCGCATACTCGGGATCAAAGAACGTGATTCTCACCAAATGAAAGCAAAATGTTGCTGTTTTTTGACTGTTTTCCGTCAGGCTTCCCTTCACAAACTCTGTCAACGTCTCCACGTCTGCGAACTCCCCTTCGCTCTGTTTCGAATAGCGCCAAGGCGGTTCATCTGCATCTGCTCCACGCAACGCATTTCCTCCCCCTTCCATCCATTGCATTACAGACACTCTCAGGGGTGAGGAGACAACCTGCAAAACTCGTCCTGATAACCACTCCAGCATCGATGCCTCCACACTCCCCAGTTCACCCAATGCCCTGCTTTCACCCTCTTTGGAAACATGGGGAGGGACACATGAAATAAACCAAAAATTACCACTACGACGCAATTCATTCCATGCCGCGTCACCCAGCGTCGTGGCGATGGAGCGATGATCAATACAGCCATTGTGAAACAATATATGCGTCCCGCTTCCCTTCATTTGTATGGAAGAAGGCAATATTAGGCATGGCATTCTCGAGGAGTGAGCCACTCTTCCAGACCCTTCTTCTGGTGTCCTCTCATCAGCAAGAGACGTGCTGTTCATTGATTCCTCTGAAGTACCCGAGACGCATGGATGTAAAGCAATGTATACATTAACACAGCGACCCACCCGCATACTCATAACTTCATCAATCTTTTATTAAACTTCACACCCTCTTCTCTTTCCCTCTCCCTATCTTTTTTTTTTTTTTTTTTTTGTTTCTCTATGACTTTCTGAAGATACCCCCACGGAAAAAAATTAAAAAATACGCGTATATTTGAAGCCTATTCCTCTATTCCTACAAGAAATAAAAAAAAAAAACAGTTTGGCTCAAATGCGTCCCGCATCCCCTCATGCTTCAAAAAAGAATTATCCCGAACTCATACAACAGCAAACAATTTCGTTCAACGGGCTTACATGCGCAATAGCCATATTCCTTGCAAAACCCAGAAGGAAGCGGTCATTGAGGGCACCAAAACCACTGGGAATCCCTCCGCGTGGAAGGTGATGACAGGACGCAGTTGGATAAAAAACAAAAACAACAAAAAGACAAGCTTCAATTGCTACCCTCAAACATGGGCCCATTAAAATCATATCAAATAAAATTAAAAAAATAATGCAAATTCCTTTTTATTCGCGTTGTTTCCTTCTTTTATTTGTCATCGTTCCGTATACGCAACCCATTCCCTATGCCTTGCGCTTTTTTTTTCGCCTGGCAGCAAAAAAAATCCCAATCGTGAAGGCCAGTGAGAAAAACCATAGGGCAATGGTGAGAAGCCATTGCTTTTTCCACGAATTATCTGTGTTCGCACCCTCTGTGAGAGTACGTCTTTTTGGCTGGGCAGTGTCTTTTCCACAGTCACTGGTCTTCTCTTCATAAAGTTCATGAGGCGCTACGGGTGTCTCTAAAATAACAGAAGTCCCATTGATAAGCAGGGTGCGCTTCCCCGTAGCGGAAGTAAGATCTACGGGTTCCTCAGATCCACGAATATTATGTGTCCTCTCCTTGTTAAACCAAACTATTATATCGTTGTAAAAACGGGTTTTCGGAAAGGACCGCACCAAAGTTGGTAAAAGATTCGGCTTCCTGTAATGTGGAATGTTCAGTCGAAGTGGAGGTGGCTTTTGCAGTACCTCGCCAACCCACAGTTCCTCTGGTGGGAGTGGTTGACACCCCTGTGACGACAAATTAGTCCTCAACGATCCGTTGTACTCTTGAAGCAACTTAATCAAATGAGGTTGGAAGCGCAGAATACGCGACGAAACACGACCAAACCCAGTCAACTCCGCACGATCTTCAAAGACTTCCACAACCGCAAATGCATTTGTCAATGTTTCAATTTGTCCTTCCAACGTGACGCAGTGGACGTGGTGCGCTCCTTGTATCCTGTAGTCCCCCTTGTGATTGTGCCCAGAAAACACCAATGGCATTTGGTCGTACTCCTTTAAAAGCGGACCCAGTCGATTTGTCTCAAATCCAATAGGGAAGTGAGCAAACAGGATTACCACGCGACCGGCAACCTTGGCCGCATGCAGTTCCTCTTCTAGCCATTTTGCTTGCGCCTCTTTTGCGGTCGCGTTGGTGGTTTGAGGATCGTTCACCAAAGAGTCCAAAAAAATAAGACAGAATGGCGGGTGATCAATTTTGTAGTACCAGCGAGGCAGACCCAGTTTTTTCCTGAGCCACTCTTCATGGGTCTTATTCATTTTACCAAGGCGATCATTATGGGCGCGAAGATCATGGTTGCCCAAAACACTGTAGTGCGGCGCCTTGGCACGGTTGAAGCTATCCAGGATGGGCCTCAGGTTCCACATCAAGTTATTATTGACAAGGTCCCCGAGATTTACCACCACATCCATATCCGCAACGCGATTAAAGAGCCCAATGGCCTCATCCATCTTGTCTCTCGCAAGATCATACCGGCGCACTGTCCATGCGGTCGTCCTCTGGCGCTGCTCCCGCAGCCACTGATGCATCGTTTCCCATGGCGCCTTTTCACCCGCTGGAAACGTGTCGTAGTGGCTGTCTGCAACAAGCCCCATGGTGAGAAGCTTGCGCGTGCTTTTCACTTTCTCCCCGGTACAAAAAATCGCCACTCCAAAAATAAAATAAAAATTCAACAAAACCGCCAGCCGGACCATCGGAAGATTCCGGCTGCCGCGCTCCCTCACACCAGCACCATGTCGTCCTCTCGCCACCATCACCTGCACACTCCCCGTCACTCCCTCCTCCTCGCTTGCCTCCATTACTCGTGTGTAGCGCCGCCAGGGCGGTATTAAACCAACAAACAACAAAAAAAAAAAAAAAAAAAAAAAAAGCAAAACATACGCAAAGATAAAGTAGAAAATTGTCATGAACACAAAGGATGCCACATCAAAATACGCAGAGTTGTTTACTCAGTTCATTGCTGTATCATAATAAAAAGTGCAACTTTCCGCCGCTTCCCATTCCTTTCTCTTCTTACTTCTTGCAGCCTTTCCCATTCTTTTCTCCACTCATGTAAGTCAAGCAGGCAACAAAAGAAACAAACAACAAGAAAATGCATGCAGTCTGATAGCCTCGTCGCGTAACAATGCGAGCAACAAAAAGCAAGAAAGCAGCGGGAAAAACACAATAATAATAATAATAAGGAAATGGAGAAACACGGGTGTATAATTCATATGCGTGTCGTTGTGAGCCATTGCGCAAGTGTGCTCACATGTGCGTCGCGGTGCAGCACGTCATCACTGCGCCACAACCACAAAAAAGTAAAGACAAATAAGAGAATGAAATGAAAACAAAAGAAGAAAGTAATTCTTTTACTTAAGACAACATACATCCATGGAGGCCGTCCTCCACCCCCTCAACAAAACAGGTGGACAAACAACCCCCTCCTCCCGCGCGAAAGCACACACACACACACAAAAAAAAAAAAAACGAAAAAAAAAAAAAAACAACAACAAACACCACCGCTGATAAACCCAAAACCAACAGAGACACCACTTGCATAAAATTATTTTCTCCTCAAAACATTCCTTACTTTTGTGGCGCACTCTTCCCCATACCTCCTTTTTTTTCTTTTGTCTGTGTGTGTGTGTCGTCTTATTTTCGCATGTATCCTCGTGCATTCTCTTCAGCGCCTAAAAAGGGACTTGACCGCCACACCCGCAAGTGAACGATGCAGTGCGACACATACATAAATACATACATTCAGATAATTACATGGCAATGAATGAGTTGGCTCCCACCGTGTCAGACCAACCACTCTTCGTACACACACACGCACACACACACACACACACACAGAGAGAGAGAGAGAGAGAGACGCATTTGTACAGGGGAGCAAAGGTTAGATACATATAGGCACGGAAAGGCATTTGGGCCCAGCAACCAAAAATATGCCGCCAGCACCCAAAACAAAACAAAACCATCCAAAAAAAAAAAAAAAAAAAAAAGACCCAACATGCCCAAAGAATGTCAGAATAGAGAAATACGTGAAAAACAAGGCTGCCGCTTCATCACAATAATGCACTCCGCAAAAAAAAAAAAAAAAAAAAAAAAAGCACACCTCCCCACGTCATGCTGCAGACCGCACAATGCGAAGACCACTTTCCCTCACATAAACAGAAACCGAAAAGAAAAAGAGAAGAAAAAAAGTGAAATTTAATCACATAAATATTTTGTTTCACTTTTAGACCCCCCTCCCCACAAACAACTTTTTTTTTCGTCCCATTGGCCAAAATGTTCTTCATTGACCATGTCTACATGAGCCGTCAACCATGTGCACTGGAAGCTCAGCCTAAAGACAAAGTAACGCGTTCTACAAAAAAAAAAAAAAAAAAAAAAAAAACGCGTATCCTGTCATTTGCCGGCGCCTCTCAATTTTTTACTTCGAGAATACCGTAAATTAATGGTGTGAGGTTTATATTTTTCTGCCAAAACACCAATAAGACAAGAAAAAAAAAAAATATATTTCTTGCCTCATCCACGTTCCATTTCAATAATGGCGTTCTGCACCCCTTGCACTCTTCGGCTCTTTAGACGCGGGATGGAATCAAGCCACCCGCCATGAAGAGCCCACCGTACTCGTCACTAGAAAAAACAAACACGCCACCCTTCACGTGGTCGTAAAACAACGCCACGCTATTCACAACACCACAAAGAAACCTTTTTTGCGGCTTTGACGCGGAATTCATGGAAGTATTCGCAGCCACAGCAGGGGCGACATCGCCTGTGGATGGCAGGCCATTTTCTCCCACTGACATCGGTGTCTCGTTGGATAACAATGCCTGGCACAGTTCCCTCTGTGCAACGTGGGCAAAGGGCACGTCGTAAAAAAGCGTAGCGGTGTTAGCTTTCCCCTCAGCATCGGAACGGGAGGCCGCAGACTGAAACCCATTTGCCAGAGAAACGCCTCCCAATGCCATTTGCAGCTGACCCAAAAATGAAGGACAAGACATCATCAATTTCAAATATGGCAATGACGAAGGAAAAGACAAAATTGAAGAAGCACTATCCGGAGCACCACAATGACCATGCGCTTGCTGTCGTGAGCATCCATTGCTTCGGTGACCCTCTGAAAGACGCGGAATACAATTTTCTTGGAGTTTCTCAGAAAGCGGGGGAAAGGGAAGAGGAACAACTCGCAACAACTCCGTCGCAGCTCTCAATAAAGTGTCCATCCCGTGCTGTTCCACCAGATGGTTAAGCAGTAATTGACGTTGATAGCCATACTGCTCGTCACCAAATGGTGAGGGCAATTCACTTGAAGTCGTGCTGCTTTCATCATCGTTTCTGCTTCCCGAATCGTCATCGTCATTTCCATCATCTCTTTGCGATTGACAATTACTGAACACACCAAGGTCAGCCAAGGAAACATAAGAGCAGCGTGCTCTTTTTATCGGAAGCCGTGTTTGGGCCGAATTAAGAGCGTTGGTTAAGCCCGTCTGCTTTCTCAGACCTATCACCTTTACGCGAGACCCCGTTAATGCATCAAAAACGTATGTCGTGCTGTGAAGAGCACCCACTGCGACAAGCACCATTGAATCACCATTATTATCACTGTTTCTATCGGCAATCTCATGACCGCTTTTATCTTCATTCCTCATCTCTTCCTCCTCCTTTCCTTCCTTCTCCTCCTGCAAGCAGAGTGGGTAACTTAAACCCGACATGCCTTCCATTGTATTACAATTTGTTCGTCGAGATGCTGACGCTGAGGATGAAACCCCGTCTGATTGATGCCGGTGTGGATGTCTTACGACAGTGACGGCACAGGGCAAAATGTAGATTGGAGCCCTCTTGGTGTAAGAGTGGAAGTGAGATACACCGTTCTCCGTAAGCGCCGTTCGTGGAAGAACCGGACAAACAGGGATGACACGCACAACACCACCATAGAGTACATCAAACACCAGACAAGCATACATTCCTGCACGGTACTCAAGAGGACGGTCATAAGGAACCAACGCACGTGCTGGCCCAACAGAGGCCGTAATACATAAGTAACGGCCGTTTTCGGCAACGGGTGTCAATGCAAAGTTCCTTTCAGACCGACGAGAATTATTCATCCCACTGGAACTCCTACCCGCAGTTCCTAGTACCTGAGACAATTTCCCAATATTGTTATGGTAGCCGCTGCTGTGGTTGTTGCTTTGTTGTTGGTGGTTCTGGTCACTGTTTGACCGCCTTTTAGGTACATCAGTGTAATAGCTAAATGTGGGTAATGAGCTCGCCGACTTCCTTTTCTTCTCATGGACAATAAACTCATTACACGTCGATGAGCTTTCATCAGCCCCTTCACTCCACAAAGGGTGTCCGGAAGCTGCCATGCTAAGTAGCTGATATGGTTGTTGTTGTGGGGCATATCTGGGTTCCTGAGTTCCTGGCCAAATACATGCACTCTGGCACAGTACCTGTGAAATTTCTTCAAACACCAAACGAGATCCTGTCCGGTAGAGAACGGCTTCCCCAGAAATAGAGGCGTCATTATTTCCTCTTGTTTCATTACTTGGCGTGGGCAATTTCTTCCCCTCACCTCTAAAGTGACGTGCACGAAGAAACGGCAGGGAATTAAACCCACCACCAACGCCCCCATTAGTATTTCCTTGATGGTTTCTGTGTCCTCTCGTACCTTGGCCGTCGTGATTATAATCATCATTGTAATCATCATCATCATCATCAAAGTCTTTGTCGGAGCCGGAGGAAGGCTCTATTACAGCCAACGTATGTGGAACTAGGTGGTCTCCATCCTGACGCAGCAGCTGCTGCACGATACGACGACCCAAACGATTTCCCTCTTTCGTCTCTGTCCCCGCTGGAAGACCCTTCTCCTGTACGAGCCGCGACATCCGTGACACTGCTGATTCACGTTCAGTCCCACCACGCGCCAATGAACGCCGATCAAAACCAATTATGCGCGTCCCCACAAAAAAAGCATCTTGCATTTCCCCATCTTTAACGGGAGCTGCTGATTTTTGAGTGAAACTCCTTTCCCGAAGGTCAGTAGAAGATTGCATTGCGGCAAGTGCAGCGGGAAGACCACGCTGGGATACGACCACGACGTTGTCTTTTGCACTTTCAATGTCGCGCTCATTCCAAGCGTCATACATGGAAAGCTGGCCATATTGATTGATTGTGTAAAACGCCTGCATCAGGGGCGAGACCAAAATATCAAACACGGGAAAAGTGGCTATGCTCTGAATAATCGAGCCGTCGGCGGGCGACCAACGAAGAATAAGATTGTCTCTACCGGACGAAAGGCACTGCAGTGCAGCGAGGCGTCGTTGAGCCTCGTGTTTCCACAGAGGACTGCCTTCTTCCAGCGGAATAACACTGGACGACGAATTGCCCCGCCAAAAGCGAGGATCCAACCAACGTGCAACTGTGATAAGCGTCTTATGAATCCGAAACGCAGCGTAAAGACGCTCTTCCTCGCCAACTGCACTGTGGCGGGACACATCCGACGCATCAATTTGGCCACATTCTGCGCGGTGCAGCGAATAGAGGAATACTTTACCCGTCGTCGCATGATGGGAACGGCTTGCCTCATCCCCTTCCGGCACAAACGGTGGAGCATTTTGCACCGAACAAAGAAGAAACTGCCCAGATGGAGAAAACGACAAAAACGACTCCAATTGTTCATACCAGTACGGATCCTTCAAGCCTTTCATCAGAACGACATCCAGTACAAGTTGCTCGCAAAATGAATCCTGTAACTGATCATTAAAATTCATCTGGTTTAGACCATTCGCAGCGCGAAGCGCAAACACCACCAATCTACTCCTTGTCGTTAAAAGGGCCAAGAGAGATCCACAAGGCGTCACAGAAACAATCTGCACTTCATTCAAAATCACATCGGATGGACGATCAAGATTGTATTCTGTTGAACTCACAGCTTCTTCATCGGATCCAACTGAGGCACTCCCTTCGGACTGCGTGAATTCATTCGCCTGATGAGCCATACGGTTTACCAGCGCCTGAAAGTGAATCGGCAGAGAAAGCGTAGGAAACATGAAGGGCTCAACGGATTCTTCCGAAATTCCTGGCAAAACAGCACCAATTCCGGTGCCACCGGAGAGAACTTGCTGTGAGTCCAAGAAGCCAGACGTAGCTTCTCCTGATACGGAGATTTCCCCCTCATAGGTTCGCACTGTAACAGGCTCATTCATTGCCTTTTCACTTTGAGTTGGTCTTCCCTGGTTTCCGTTAGGAAAAAATTTCGATGCAACACCATTTCTTTGTGAGCTCATCAAAAACATGTTTGCAGCCGGGTTTTCCATGGATCGTAGTTGAATATCCGCAGACACACGTTCGTTCTGAAGATCCAGAAGTATCTTCGGTGCGCTTAGAACCTTCTTTAGAAGAAAATAAAGCGGCGTCCGTCGTGGCTTAGGAGCCCGGCCCAGCTGATATGGCTGCCCGGTGGCCAACACATGTAAAAGAGCCATGTGAATATCAACCTCATTCTTCATGTTATCGTGTAAATAAGGTGTGCCACAAACTTCCTTATGGTTTGGCAAGTTCGCGCCCGTTCCACTTTGCCATTCATGACCCAGAAGTGAAAGGCGAAGCGGTGCCATTAATGTTGTTGTGCCCGCAAGATATTCGTGGACGGCCCTCTTCAGTGTATTCACAAGAGTAAACCCAATGTTCTCTTTTTCATCGGCCATCTTCGCACGACGCGAGCGTGGTAGACGCTGTGATTGACCCTTCCCTTGACCATTATCAGGATAGGACGGGGAATCTTTGCGGATTCCCTTGGTACCGTCTATAATTTCAGAAATCTGCGCCGCGCAATTTTGGTACCAAAATCCTAACGAAGCAGAGACAATGGAAAGCCTCCGTCTAGTCTCATGACGTCCTTCTGCCTTACAATTTGTCATTTCCATAAATCTCTGGGAATTCTGCAGCCACACGTCCGCGAATTCTGCAACGGAACCAACAACCCAGGCAAGAATTTGTATTCGAAGAAATATCTGTGCCCATAGGAGTGCGGGACTAGACATAAATAAAGGTTCACCCGCGTCAAAAGATGCGTCCGACACCTCCCCACTTCCCATAAGGACTGCACGCCGCACCACACCCATGAGCATATGCCACGGCTTACATGCCGAACTTCCTTCCATTTCAGTCTTGACCTCTGAAGAAGACGTTTCACCACTTTCAGTGTAAGAGATAGGTTCCTTCAATTTTCTTTCTGAAACATCAATTGACTCCATCCTTTTATTGTATTGCCCACAGTGAAGTATGATCCATGTAGAAACTTCTTCTATGTTCTTCCTGAAGGTGGAAGCACCACGGCAGAACAATGCAATGATACCGCTGTGTATATCCTTTGTTGTAATCATTACCTCATTGGCAGAGGAGTATAATTGTGACGGGTCCTTTTTGATCTCTTCTGAATTAAATAATCCATCCGCTTTTTGATTTTCACCCCAGGAAGGAGTGAAAGATTCAAAGAGGTGTCTATTAATTTCCAGCTGATGAGCATCCAGTAGTAGTCGCTGAAGTTTTTCATGCAGCAGTGAAAGCCTCTCCAAAATATTTTTCCGGTGGCGAAACCACCCTTGGGATGTGAAGTCTGCCCATGATACCGCTTCTACCAGGCAAATTTGTGCCCACAGCACCTCAACATAAGAAAAAAACACTTCCAAAAGAGATACCCATTCCGGGGGCAAGATGTCGGCTAACTGTGCTCCACTTTTCTTCTCCCCATGCTCCGTTTCACAACTATCAGCATCCAAAAAAACATTAAAAAGTTTTCGCAGGTGAGGCGTCAGAGCAACCAATTCAGTGGTGTTATTGCTGTTGTCGCCACCATCTGTAGTAGTGTCTCGAGCGGCATCCCAGCCAGGTAGAGCAATCCCGATGCGACAGAGCTCCTGAAGAGCACCCGCATTTTTTGTTTCATCGTCGCCTCCAGTTTTTCGATGCATGAAATTCCATAAAAAGGCCGTCCTAGCCGTATCTGGCTGAGAAGAAGGTTGCTGCGTCTCTGTTCCGCCCTCTGTTTTGCATGCCACATTTAAGGAGCTACCGTTTCCATCCTTGCCTTTGGGCTCCAATGTTGTCTTGGCCTCCTTCGGATTTCCCCTGGCACTCTTTTCTCCCGTATTCGCTACGTCCAAAGTCTGTACTCCATTGCCACAGAAGTTGCTGTGCTCCACGGTGGCGCTGGTCAAAAACTGTAGCCTCCGGCAACTTTCTTCCTCCAGCATTTTAGCGGTTTCGGTGAGGCCGAGGTCCATCAGCAGTTCCTGCAGCACGCTGTTGGCAGGAGGCAAATTCGCAGGCGCAGTTTGTGATTGAGGGGCGCACTCCCCCGCATTTTTCTTCGTGCAGGCCGACCCCGAGCTCCTCCGTGCCGGCATTTTGTGTGAAGCAAAAACAGGAGATTGTGTTTTTGGAGTGGGCCAACAAATATAAATGCCCGCCCGCGCACGTTTTTCTTCGACCGTCCCTCTCTCTATCTCACTTGTCCCGTGTGAATATTTACCACTCGGTCAAGCGGTTTGCAACGCCGTGGTGCGCCTCACCTGTCAAATCAAAAAAGAAATTCAGAGGCCAACAAAAATCAGAGCGTCCCTCCTCCCTTTTTGTTGTTGTTGTTGTTGTTGTTGTTGTTTTTCTTTTCTCAAGCACACGCACAAAACAAATTTAGCCTCGCCCCAACACGCACCTGCAAACTCAAACTAAAAAACAAACAAACAAACAAAAAAAAAAAAAAAATGGTTTGCTCACCACTGTGAGTGGCCTGGATAAGATTTCCCCGTTCCTTTCCGCCTTTCTTTTGTCCTTTCTACTCGTGCTGCTTTTTCGCCTGCCCCCTTTTGGGGAACAAATATAACTATAGTTAGATATAAATGTGTGTGTCTGTGTATGCGTGTTTTTGTGCTTGAATGTATTGTGTTAGTCTGCACTAGAGCAAACGACTTGCAATGCAGGCAAATAAAAGACGGATACAAAAACAAAAAAAAAGTGTACAGAAACCACATCACAGAGCACCACATGTACCGTTGTTTTGTTGTCGTTGTTGGCTTATTTTCTTTTACATCTTTTTCTTTTTTTCTACGTTAATTCGATGCGTCAGAACAGGGTCTGCCCAGAGACAGGAAAGTCGTATCCGCAGAACGTGACTACGCCATGCCACTCACCCCACCCCACCTCGAAGGCCGCAATCGGAACAAGGTGCCAAAAGAATAGGAAAAACACATACACAAATTTCTTTTCCCTACAGATGCATGTAAACGAGACATGACAAAAAAAAAAGCAATAAAAAGGCAAAACAAACCAAAAAAAAAAAAAAGAAAAGCTCCTTTTTTTCTCTTCCTTTCCCTTCTTCGTCCTTGCCCTTAAGCTTCTCACCTGGAGAGTGCTTCCTTCGATTCTTTTGGGGGAGCCGGCTGCAGCAGGCCCAGCTCCGCTCGGAGAACAATATACTCGCGACGCAGCAGTGCCAGAATCACCAAGAACTGTTCGGTCTCTTCTTGTGTATTCCAGGACGGGATCACCTTTGGAATTAGAGGAAGCCTCAATGCTGCAGCGCTCGTCTCTTTATCCACGGGTCCACCACGCTTCACTTGAGGTGTGTGACTCGCGTGCGATGTGTGTGTTTTTCCTCCAGTCCCAGAGTGGGTATCCGACGGCATCTGCCTCGCGCGCCGTATTGTGGTGACGGAGAAGGGCGAATCCGACACAGATAACGGATTATCACCACCAGCAGCACCACCCCGTGTTGCTTCTGACGTGCCATCCAGGGCTACACGTCTAGTAACAGGTGGCTGAATCGGTTCTATGCCCACGTCATCCAAGTAGGCGTCAAGCAGCTCATAGGCCTCCTTTGGCAGACGCATTCCGGAGACAAGAAAGTCAACCGTGTTCTGCACAACGGCGGCTCGAATCGGATCCAGTGGCGATAAAGCGACTTCGGTATCGCAGAGCACACTGTAGTAAAGTGCCTTTACATCATTCACGTTGGTTACAGCTGGGTAACGAGGAGAAGGACGTTGTTGTGGCACCGAAGATTTGGTTTCTGGTGTAGAATGTGCTGACCTCACCCCCATTGGAGAATGATGTGGCGAAGTTGTATTCTTTTTGCGCGTTGGCTGCTTCACACTTCTCGCTGAAGGGGTAGCAGTCTTGCGAACTGTACTGGACTGTGAGTCGTGTAATGCTGCCGCCGCGACTCCGCCATCATGCAAAGAACGTTCTGGAGCAAGGTGAAGATGACACAGTTTGTCGCTGATGCCATCACGCAGAAGAGCAGCCATAAGACGCGTCATGACAAAGCCATGTGACGTTGGAATTTCCTCCACCTTGTCCTCCAGCAACAACTCCGCCATAAGCACTGTCGGATCATCAAAAAGACCAAACCCATAAAGGCCCACATCCGTCGGAGTCTTATTGATACTACGGAATTTGGACGGATGAACAGCAAGGGTGGAACTCAGCGACATAAGCTCGGAGCCACTTCCGGTAAGACCGCGTGCGGCTCGAGAATATGCATTTCCAGGCGCAATCCACCTTAATTCCTCCTCTCGCTTTTTGTCCAGAGTCTCGCTAGAAGCTACAATGCCGCTACCTTTCCCATATGAGGGGTGGTTGCTTGTGTTCTTGCTTGTTATTCCTCCCACCGCCGGTGTTGTGTTTCCTCCTGTTGAGTCTCCTTTTCCCAAATGTCGTTTGGATCCCCCGCCTCCGCGCCGCGGTGTTGTTGGCTGCGGTTGAGACGATGAGGAACTTACGCCACACACATTGTCGTTGGACGACGAAGCTAGAGAAGCGGCCACAATAGCCGAAAATCGATCCAAAAGATCTTCTTCCCAGAGAAGGCGATACATATCACAAAGCCATTTGCGGTATAAAATAGAGACACGCAGGTCCACAAACTGTACGGCAGGAAGCAGGAAATCAAATGTAGTGCTGATCACGCGAAAAATAAGAAGAGTTACTTCTTCCCGTATCTGTTCCTGCATGGTCTGTGAACTCGTAATATACTCCTGTACTTGCTTAATCATATTTTCCAGCTCCACGCCAATCCGAGAAAAAAGAGTTGGCGTGGCCGCATTATCTTGCATTTGAGTTTTCGATGCGGCAGCAGCATATTCAAAAGAAAAATCTTTTGGTGTTAATTCTTCGGTTTCCCCGGCTTGTAAGTGAGTACTCGCGGCGGTTGTGGCTGGCTGACCATCCACCCGCTGGAGAGACCGCAAAAGCACATAAAGCACCACATCGTTAGGGCGCACGAACCCACTGGCATCGGTCATCATGTGCAACGTGGTTGTTGGATGCAAGGGATCCATAGAGTTATCACCAAACGGACCTCCACTCGTGGCGGTGGCATGCACTCCCTTTATTCGTTGAAAACCACTTTGCGCACGGCGTGTGATATCGGACGACGCAGCCACAGAACTGTTGCCCCCACCGCTGTTGCCTTCAACCGCCTCCACAAAACCCCCTGCAAGCCTCGTAAAATCCTCCGCGTAGTTGCGCAGAGATGGGAATAACATTGGCATCAGACTTAGTGCCGCAGGAGACGGTAACGTAATAAAACGTCCAATCATGTCCCCTTGTGGTACTGCCCCACTGCACCGGGATTCATTAACGGCATCCGTCACTGCACTGTTTTGCTCAGCATCCTCCATACTCCCAAAGGAACTGTTCAGTGACGAAACAGAAGAAGACCCGCCAAACAGGAGCCCTTCTACCAGCATATTCAAAAAAAACGCCGTCTGATTCATCGCCCGGCCTCCTAAAAAAGCAGTTCCAGCCTCATCACATTTTGATCCATCCATCTCACGTGAAAGGCTATCATTATCCTCCGCATTTTGCATCATGCGCTTTGGTAGCGTTGCGTCGACAGGTGCCACAGAAGAGGCGCTAGCATCTCTGTTATTGCTACCCGTACGAGTTGGCTTTGTGGATGCATGAATCGGGAAGTCTCTATGGGCATTGCTAAAAGGCGTGAAATTTTCATTCTTGTTATCACCTTCGGAAAGTAGCAATCTCGCCAGCGCAGCAATTTCGCCCTTGGGAATGCGGCCCTCCAAAAAATCCCAGAAGTCCTCGGTCCAGCAAGAAGCCCGTTTAGCAGTGAAGTTCCGTGGCAAAACCATTCCCAATAACCTGAATGGCTGAACTGATGTCTGTGCTGGAATTGTGGAACTTGAAGGTTGATTTGCAGTATTCTCGTTGCCGCCTGCACTCCACGTGCCAGAGGCTGTCATGGAATGCATGGGGTGCAACTGACGTCCCACGTCACTCTGAAAAAGTTGCTGCAGCTCAGCTGAGGTGCAGTTCGCCACACACGCTTCAGGTGGATCCAATGTTCCGCGCTGACCTTTCACGTCCAACGCATTTCCGGCTGCCGAAGAGCGGGATGATGTGCTTCGCACCCCTCTTGATCTACCGCCAGCGTCACCTGCTGAGCTACTGCGCGTATGACAGTCGTACAGATGGTGTACTCCGCGGCACCTCTCCGCCAGCTCCATGAGCATCAAAAGGTCCTGGTGAAGAAAGGATTCCAACTCGATAAGATGATGAAGGTCTTTCAGGAGACGCCTCACAAGAGCATCGAACGCGCACACAAAAACTCGCCTCTCTTCTTCCTTTAACAAAGCATCAAAGCGAGAAAGAGTGAGGGCAAGCTCGACGATATAAGTTTTGCAAAGAACATCATTACCCTGTTCAAGGCATTGCATCAATGGAAGAAATTCGTTTCGCATAATTGATGTGATGCCTGGAAGGGTATTTATTCCAGAAGATATCCCCAGAGAGGACTGTAGATTTTTCGGTCGCAATGGTACTTCAGCATTCTGACCTCTCATTTTCCTTTTTAAAATAAAAACTATAACTTCCTTACAGACAATATTCACTTCAAGATCTTTGCACAGGGTAGAAACAGCGTATAATAAAGTATACGGCCTTCTAGACCTCGTGTGGTAAATGCAGAAGTGAAGTAAGAAGAATAGGGCTTAAGGACCATGCAGGTAGACTATAAATCTAACAAAGGAAAGAGAAAGAACACGTAAGGATCATGCAGCACTTCAGAATAGGATCGATATCATTAGCAATAAACGTTGATAACATACAAACGCTATTCGTTTTTACCTTCTGCGCCCACCCGCACGCCTCTCCTTTCGCCCTTCCTCGACCCCCTCCACAGTTATCTTCGCTCCTTAACAAACATAGGAGTACAATAAAAGAACCGTAGATGTACACTCAGGTAACGGGGAAAAAAAGGAAAAAAAATTAAATTTTTTTTTTTTTTATTCCGTCAATGAGACAAGCTTTGTTTAAACGCAATTTTCCCTTTTTCTTTTTATTTATTCGTAGGATTTTTGTTGATTTGTTTCTTGGTTTATATGTGTGCTTTTGGCACCCTCACTCGCCCTAGGATGAATTTATTCAACGGTGGCAGCTGGCTGCAAAATGTCTTTCTGCATTTTCGTCATGTCGATAATATAACGCAAGGAAAAGTAATTCTCTTTCGCCAGATCCGTCAACGCCCGGTGCTGCTGCAGTCCACGCTGCAGAACCTTCAACGCGGGAATAACGGCACTTCGTTCCTGTGCAAAACCACCCGTGCACTCATTGGAGTGCAGCATCAGAGACTGCGCCCAGAGCAAGGCCTGCTCGATCCCCCGACTCTCTTCAACCTCTGTGCTCACCCACTGCACCAACAGAGGGAACAAGACAGAAGGGGCGGAAGAGACGGCGACGGGAATGGCGTCCCGCGGCATCCGGCGTAAGCACTCCACACCAAGCATCTTGTCTCCAAGTTTCATTGCACCCATAAGCGCCATAACAGGTTCGCCGCGGTCTAGTTGATCGCGAACCTGTTGGGTCGTGATGTTAGCACTGAGCTGTAGGGGCTGGAACTTTGGACGTGCAACACGAGTAGAAAACACCAACAGCCCATCGGTGGTGGCCGCCACAAATTCTGTCCCTGTGCACGAAAAAGCCAAGTCCATCGTTCGTGCCGTGAGTGCAGTTTGTCTCTTTCCTGTCGCAAAGTGGCGGTGCCGACTTCCAGGCATCTCCATTATTTTTCCCCGGCGCAGATGAATGTCAGCATCGTCCACATCAATATCGTCGACATGCCCTGCTTCCGTCATTTGACGCCACTGGTATTGTTCTTCCGCTCCCTGCACATCCTGGTTCGTCGTGACAGGCCACTTCTTCAGCATGTAGCCCTGAGTGGCGTGATACATCACAATCCACTTGGAATCTCCCCCAGCGACAATCTTTTCCCCCTCAGGAGAAAAGGCAATGACATTGAAGCGGGCATTATAGTTCGCACTACGTGGCCCCACTGTCTTGTTCCACCCACCAGCGGCGTCAAAACTCGTCTGAAAGGTTTTGATGATGATTGGCTCTGTCGGTACGACGGTCTCATAAACAGATATCTCCTGTCTCATTGTCAACACAGCCAGACGGCGACCACTGTTGCTGAACGTAACACTAAGCACTTCAGACCCAATGTCTACTACTTCTGCATCACCCTTCATGCGGTCCCCACCATCCCCGCGGTTAAAAAGATCCCAAAAGACAAGATTGTGGTCAAGAGAACCGGAAACAAGAGCGGTGCCTGACGGATGAAATGCCAGACACGCAATAGGCGCTTCATGTCCTTGCAGTTGATCAATCAATTTTCCCGTTTGCACTGCAAAAAGAAAGATGCGATCGGTCTGCCCACTACCCACTGCCAGCACTTCTCCAGATGGGTCGACAGCAATGCAAGAAAGTTGCGTTTGTTCGGGTGTTTTATAGACGCGGAAATGACGGTATCGTACAAGATCATAGCCTCTTGCTGTGCCATCCCGGCTGCAAGTAAAAAAGGCATTCGTAGCTGCGCATGTTACCACGCCCGTTACCGGTGCTGTGTGTTCTGTGAAAGTTACATAGCACTGACCTGAGGACGCTTTCCACACCTTTATTTTACCGTCATCACCACAAGAAATAATGCTACCAGAATCTGCAGTTATGGCAACTCGAGAAATATCGTAATAGTGCGCCTGGTCTTTAAGAACATATGCCTCTGATTTCCAGTCCCACAGGAGAAGCTGTTTCAACTGGGCACTTCCAAATGCAACAAAGTCACCAGTTGGACTGAAAGCTGCAGCTGTTAGTGACTGTGCGGAAATAGAAAGTAAATGAACAAGAGTTAGTTCCGCTTCGTCAGCCGTTGTCAAACTATGAATTGCAAAGATACCAGAGTTGTAGCCAATCGCCACAAGACCACGAAGTCGGTGAAAGCATGTGACTGATACGTTTCCTTTATGCGTTAGTAGGTATTTCTTGTCTATCTCATATGCACAGCGAAGAATGTCAGGTAGATACGTATCATCCGCAACGGAGACACGCACCCCTTCAAGCTTCAGCTGCTCCAGCCGGCGTTTTTCTAAAAAAGACTTTGGAGCACGACCGGCCCCATCATCATCATCGTCACCACTTTCATCTTCCTGCTGCATGATACGCGCCTTCATTTGTGCAGTTGCAACAGCTTGCAGCACCTCTCGACGTGTGACATTCGTACGCTTCCATGTGATAATGACATTATCAGCGGAGACACTCACAACGCAAGAGCATGCGTCATCCATAAACCAAGCACCATGAACTCCAGCGCGGTGACCTACCAAGGCATTCTGCTGTATAGCCATCCCCTTCTGCTGCAGACGTCCTTGACGTGGGTAAATCTTCATGCGGGCATCTTGCCCGCACAATAGAAGGTGTTCACTGTTCGGTGACCATTCAACATTCATAATTGGCAACGTCAGCGCCGCGTGTAGATTCTCCACCCGATGACATGCATGGTATGCCACAACACGCTGAGCCGGGGAAGTGTACACCTGAAGAGTATTTTCAAGGGCAATTGCAACGTACTTGCCACACGGACTAAACTTGACACAGCGGACCTCACAGTCAGGGGGGAACGCGATAGTGTCAAGCACAACACCGGCGGAAATCGCGTAGAAAAAGCCAACACCACGCCGACCAATTGCAATCAGCAGATCGCCGTCTGGTGATAGGTCAAAACACTGAATCGTGCTGTTACTGCACGGAAGCGAGCGATGCCCTTCCTGCTGGACCTGAATGCTTGAAATGTAATTGTTGACCGGCGAGTACAACTGGCGTCCGTCGGGAGAAAAGGCGACATTGCCTCCCGTGTACAACATGCCATGCACTGAAGCCAGTTGAAAATTTGTCTGCATTTTCTTCCCGCTTTTCTTTTATTCCTCCTCCTTATCCTCTTTTTTTTTTATTTTGCTGGCTTCTTAACGTCTTCCTTTCCTCCTTCGTCACCACCCGTTCCGGAAGGCTCCCACTTCTATGCAGAAAAAAAAAAAAAAAAAAGATGGCACAATAAACACCGCTCACTTATTGCACTTTGCTCCGTGTACAAACTTTTGGCGGCTAAACGCCTGCTCGGCTCTCACGCTCCCCTATCCATCTCTTCCTACCTGCGTATATTACGCATGTATTTCTTCACGCCTTCTGATAATTATGTTGCCTTTTATTTAATTGGACCTCCTTCACTCCCTTTGGTCATTAAGCTTCAGTTATTCATGTATTTTTTTTTTCTTCCTAATTTCAGTCCCGTCCTGCTCCCTCACCCTCGCCGTGTGTAAGCATCGCCAAACGGAATAGTTGCCTGGGTGACTGCCTCTAGTACACCGTGTCAGCAGCCTCTTCGTCGTCAAGGTCGGCGTCAAAGTGGCCAACAATACCCCACTGTCTGCTCTGTTCCCGCGGAATACCTGCCAACGCACCAGCCACTTCAGGAAACCTCTCCACAATCACCTCGTAATAATACTGCGCAGTGCTCATCATCAGCTCATCGTTCACGTCCACACGGCGCAGCATTGGAACAAATACTTCTGGCATGAGGTCAGAAGCCTGTATGAGTCCGGTGCTGGCCAGCGCGGCGGCGGCGCGTAGCAACCACGTGATAGTCAACTTGTCGCTAGCGCCAACACTCGCCGCCGTTCGTACGCCATCCGCTGCCGCGCGAATAAACGTCGGGTCTGCACGCTCCATGCAGCACGTGACAAGCGAGTACGCAAACGCGAAGCCACCAAGGGCCGCGCTCCCTTTGGAAGACATCATTACCAGCGCCTTCTTTTGAAGCTCAGCAAGCTGTCCATCGGTAGTACTTGCCGACTTGCATAGCGCTGCGACGGCCACACCGGAAAAAGCTGCAGTTGCCGGCGTTTCCGCCCATTCCCAGGTGGGCAGCACAAAGTCCATCAATTTTGTAATGTGACTCAATGCTTTGGTGAAGTGACTGTATCGTATTACGACAGAGACAAAACGGCACATAACTCCCCGAAGCAATGCAGTGTCGACAGAATTTTTTTTGGTCACCACTGTACCAAGAATAAGTTCGGCGTACTTTTCAGACCTTTGCAGCAATCGAATGACAACACGAAGTGCCAACACGCGGGCCTCACCCTTGTCGCATAGAGAAGCATTAAACATCGCAAGTGCCATGGTACCTTCCACCATTTTCTCCTTACCGCTGGCAGGATAGTCCATGAGTTGCAAACAAACTCTGACAAGCGCAAGAACAACAGTTCCTTCATTTCGTGTAAATAACACCTTTGAGCAACGACCAGCGACTGTATTGGCAGCGCCCGCGCTCAAATGTCGCGGTGCAAACGACAATAGGTCCTGAATGCACTCCACGGCCTGCACCTTTTGCACGGAGGTGCCATAATCAAGGCCTCTGTTATAGAAGTTCATGAAAACGTCAAATATTCGCGCGGGTTCACCCTCGCCAAGAACATTAAACTCCGGTTCTGTCTCAGTAATAAATGCACGCGCGGTAACCCCCAATGTGTTTTGAAACACATCCAGGTATTGCAACAGATATCGGCCAGCAGCACGCTTGCTGGTCGTAAGGTCTTGTTGCTCCTCTTCCTCCAGGGATTCTACTACACGTTGCTCAAGCGATGCAATGAGGCGTGGGATCATAGAAACCGCAATGCTTCGAAGTTCGTCATCGTCGCTTCCAAGAGCTTCAATGGCAGCACGGAACACCGCGGTGAGAGTCTCAATAGAGTCAAACGACACACCCAAACCATACGCCTCCGCTGCAAGAAGAGCGCCACGCTGTGTCGCCGGGGAACGAAGTCCTTTTTCCCAATGTTCAACTGGCAGGTGCTCAAATTCACGAGACAAGCCTTCAATAAACTTTTGATACGTCTCACTCGCACCCTCAAGCCCTTGCACAAGAAACGCAAGAAGTGTTCGACTCATATCATCGGAGTAGCGACGCATCTGTTCATATGCCTCATCCACATCAAGAATGGCATCGAGAAGTTCAAGGTTGTCCTGTGTGTACACAGACCGTTGCGCAAGATACTTGAAAATTATATCGAGTGCGGCAACTGGTTTTACCTTCACCACTTCCACCACACCACGCACTGACGTCTCAATTTGCGCTTCAATTGCATCCTCAATGAGTCTTGGACCGACTGACTTGGACACCTTCGCAAACACATCTCGCGCGCACTCCTGCACTCGCGGGTCCGTATCCTGCATGCCGGGAAGAACACACCCCACAATCTGGCCGCCTACGCCAATGAGACGACGAGAGTCAATGTAAACCACGACGTTTGCAAGACATGTAAGTGCCCCAAGTTTACTTCTACGGCTCTTTTCATGGTAGCGGTCGCATAAGGCCTCAATCAGTTGCTCAATCATCTCATTCAAACGGGAAGTAAATTCAATAGTTTTCACAGCCATCTCCACACAATCCAGATTTTCGGAGGAGGCAAATAAGACCAAAACATTTACAAGACCGTTAAAAATTTTCTTAACAGCACCACGAAGACTCGCCACACACGTCTGCCACGCATTGTTTGTATCTGTGCGGACGTTCAAATTACGCTCATGACGGCCACAGTACATCGCCGACAGCAACTGGGTGAATCCCTCCGTTCCCAAAATCTCCTCAAGGGAGCCAAGAATAGAGATGCCACGCTTCTCCACATCGCGTGCGGCCTCCATCTGAAGTACACCACAGTTTTCCGCGTCTTCAGCGGCTTCTGCTTCCTGTTCCAGGATTCGTTCCAGTTCCTCCGTCTTGTCTTGGTCCCCGGCCAGGTTCTCCTTGGCTAAATTAATGCGCATCCTTTTACGAATTTGTTGGACCAAGTGAATGAGCAGTTTTGAAGCCAGTAGCATGGAGCTTTGACGCAATGTTGTCACCTCACTCACCACACCAGAAAGCAATGGTTCCAGCACCAACGAAAGATTCCGCGTCCCATACGAGTTAATGATGCCTGAGCCCGCCACAAGTGCCACATCCCGAACACGATCGGAAAAGTGTGATAGTCCTTCGAGCACCCACGGGAACGACAGTGGTAAAAACCTCTGAAAAGTGGATGGACTAAGGGTGGAGGGAGAGTATACCATGATATGTAGAAATCCTTCCCGTACAAGGGGTCGCTCATCCAACATGCCTGCCGCAATCGTGGGGAGTGAGTCGTACAGAATGGAATCCCCGCAACTTTCTACCACTTCCACAAAAACCTGCGCGGCACCCGCCTTTTCAATACTGCTAACGTGAGGCTTGTGCAAAATAGTAAAACACCAAGCCACGATATCATCAACCATCTTCCCACCAAGGGCAGCGGAGAGCGCTGCAACAGCCTTGGCGCTGGTAGTGCGGGCTTCCGACATGGGGTCCATTGCAGCTTCTTCAAGTAACCTCACAAGTTCCTCAGAGTACGGTTTAAGGGATTTGGGGTCATTAACAAGATTCACCATAGATGCCACAATCTGGGCCGCCTTTGGACGGAGATGTGGCATTTGGCTACTGAGGCCCCGCGAAAGGATAGGAATAATAAGAGCCAATGACGCAGGGTCCACAGCATTCACAAAACGAGTATAAAGCAACGTGTCAAGTGCATTCTCAGTTTCAGTACTAGGAGAACGTAACGCAAGAAGGATTACTTCCACATGTTCCCGAATCTCAGCGTTCGATACAACACCAGCAACACGCCGCAACGCATTCATAGCAGCTGTTGAAACATTATGGTTGACATCAAAAAGGCATGCGTTGATGTGTTTTGTAATCTCTGGCAACGTTGCGGCCAGTTGCTTGGGCGAACAGAAGGCGACGTAACCGATAAAGTTTAGAGGCGGAACACGTCGTTTTGCCTGCTCTGCAGATAGACTATCCACCAAACGGGGTATCAGTTGTTGCAGGCCCACTGCTGTCAAGGAGCGCACCATTACACGGGACGCGTCATCTGCACATTCTGAAACCCTTTGATCCTTGTCGGCCACGCCCTCGAGCAATCCGCCGCACATGGCGAGTGCGTAAGGCTCAAATTTGGCACCCATTTCTTCAGAAAGAACCTCCAGAAGTAACATCACACCCGTCCGCTCTGTCCGATTCTCACTAACGGCCTTTTTCATAATCTCCATAATCTGGTAACGTCTAAGGGAAGTAAGACCCAAACCCTGAAGAACGCCCACAAGACCATAGGCATGTGCTTTTTTCTTAATGTATGAACTGGCGTGAATGACCTGTTTCAAACACTTCTCCACAAACTCATCCAACTTTGGAGAAGCTCGCACCTCCTCGTTTTTCGTAATCTCCACCATAGATGTACACACAGCCCGATGCACCATAGCCGAGCTTGACTTGTTTAATGTGCTACTCTGTTGCTCGACAATGGATTCCAACAACACAGTCTCTTTAAGACGACAACTAATGATCGTAAGCCACACTGTAGAAGTGGCAAAGTAGAGCTCTTTGTGTGCATCGGTGAGATCTTTAGGTGGCTTACCAAGGCGAGTCTGAAGTGTTGGAGCCAATGACTTGAGAACATCGATAGCGCAGTCATTCAGAACCACGCGTCCACATGAGAGGATAAGTCGCATAAGTGGTTCCGTACTCGGAGACTCTGCCATTTCGCAGAGAAACAACAGGACGCCCTGAAAGGCATCATTCATCAATGAGGAAGACAAAACCTGAATGGATACAATAGCGCCTTGTCCAGCGATCTTCTTTAGGTCTTCAAGCCACAACTTTTGCTGTGCCACAGTCGTCGAGGGCAGTAAGAAGAGTTCTCGCATAGTCTCACCGATACGCACAGCGTGTGATGTTTGGTGCTGGCCGTAATTCCTTAAAAAGTAAAGAAGATCATTCCAATCCATTGGATCGAGCGAGAAGGAGTACACGGGATCGTGCGTGACGCGTTGCATCGACTTCACCACCTCGAGAGAAGAATCATGAAGAGAAACTGCTGCCAAAACCAATGCACGACGACATGTCAAGAAGTGCGAAAATCGATGATATGCTGAAGCAACCACCTCCTTAACAGCATCAGCGGGGTTAAAAAGACCGAGTTCCAGTGCTGTGAGATTCGACGCAGGAATCAGAGCCATCAGGAGATTAATGCCCTGTTGCACGCTCTTAAAGAGTGAAGGAAAATTCTGCAAAATGTTGGTAAGTAGTTGTAGTGTTTCTGTAGGCTGCGGTAATTTAGGCTGTCCGAGGTTCTGCAAAAGTAGACCCATAATCTGGTGCTGCGTCGCAACAGGAATGGTCGTCTGCACGGCATTGCTTCCACGACCTGCCTTAAACGCAACCCGTGAGAAAGGGAGCAATACCACAAAAAGAGGCGCAGGAATCATATGAGTGATGGCCTGACGCAGATGCAGCGACATCGTTGAGAGCCGTGACACGTCCTCAACCGTAAGAGATGGTTTGTCATGCAACTGGGCCACAGTACACGCCATGTTCTCCGCCATGTCTGCAAAGATGGTTTTTGAAAGCAGACCTGAAATGGCATCTACAATAAGACGCTCAAGTACTTCCGGCAAATCGTTGCTATTCAAAATGCCCTGAAGATAGGGATAAAGTACCGCCACCCCTTCGATAGGAAAACGTCCTGTAGTTCCAAGAGTACGAATCGTCGCCAATGGTACCTTATTCTTCCGTATCGTCTCCTCAATCTCATGTCTCCGCTTCTCTATTTCTATGCGCAACACCTCTCGACCCTTTTCAAGAGCAATCGCATCTCTTCGTTTCATGTCTTCGTAGTCGTCCTCAGACATTCCCTTGGGTGGTTTGTCAGGATATGTCTTGAGAAGTTGTCGCTCCCGTAAAGCCTTTGTTTCGTACTCTTGCAGCGCCGTTACGGAGGAGGCCGCAATGGCGCGGTCACGGGCATCAAGAGACATCAAGTAATCCACCGATTTTTTGGTGGCATCTAAAAGTTTTTCAAAGGCTTGCTGCAATGACAGGGGACTGGTGATAAAGCTCAAAAGCAGCACCAAACCACGACTGGCAGCCGTACCCAAATGTGTCGGACCATTAAAATTCTCACAGATTTTGCTGACAAGTGCCTCACTGTGCAGTTTAAAAAGGTGTGCGTGTTCCCCGGCAAAGAGTCGTTCAAATACTTGCGATTGCACCACCTCCGAACTCGTCCGCCGACGGCCAAGGAGAAATGACTTTGTGTGGAAATAGTACGGATCTGTCCCTTGAATGTGGTCATGGCCACAGCAAAGCAGAACTTCGCAGAGCGTGGTCGATACTGGCGTCTTCGCGGTGTGCTGCAGTAATGCTGGGGCCACCGTAAGGAGTGCCCCAACGGCATTGGAGGACAAAATCTTCGGCTTTTCCTTCGCCTCCAACCCGAATACTGTGCGTGTCAGGCTGTCCCAAAGGGCGATGATGGCACTTGCATCAGTAGAAATTGTGGCAACGTACGAGGAAAGGTGCTGTCGCAGTAATCCACTTCTGTGGGTTAAGAGAAGCGCCATGGGAGCAAATAAACTGATTTGGGCAAGTGCCACCGCCGTTTCCATGAGACCGTCCAATTCATCCGCTACCATACCCAATTGTGCCACCACATCTGCCTGACAAAGAATGCCGCACAGTTTTGCTACCGCATTGAATCGTTTCTGTGCAGCGATGCGCAATGCCAAAAACGCATCCGGTCGATACGCCTCCGCCTCTTCACATTCCTCCAAAAGCGGCTCAATCAGAGAGGCAATGACATCGGCGGGTGCTCGTTGCGGGGAAATATGTATTATCATAACCCTTCGGAGTTGTTCATTGTTCTTGGCGCTTTTTAATGCAGAGCGTATCTCATCTGCAACATCGTCCTCCAATCTGGCTTCTCGAAGAAGTCTCCAAGCAGCAGCGGCAGTGTCTATGGCAGGACTTGCTAGTTCCCGCTCAATCATGCGGGTCAATTTTCCAGCTGCAGCCTTGGATCGTGCGGCATCAGAAATGGCGTGCATCACGGAGGCGGTAAGGGTTATAATCGATGCCTTTTCAGTCACAGCCCGGCATCGGTTTACCACAACATCGGAAGCGGCCTGAACAAAAAGAGGAAATAACTCCTCCTCCGCTTTCATGTGAAGAAAAAGTAATGCATAAAGCTCTTGCCATTCCTGTGCCACAGCGAAGTTCAAGGCCTTAACATTGTTCACAAAGGGTGTTAACAATTGCAAAAATCCGTCCATACCACGAGACTTGAAAAATGCAAATTTGTCCTCCCCAGGAAGCGCCAAAAGCACAACGAGGTAATCCAATGCATTATCGCGTGAGCAATTGGTAAGCCCCATATTGTAAATGCAAGTTTGTATTGCGTCATTGGGGCACTCAACCCATAATGAACCAGGGGAAGGTCGATCGGAAAAAAGATGAAACAACAACGTTGGACTGCCCTTCAACACCTGCATGAGTGTACCATTCTTTATGGGATAATTCCATGGTGTTGCTAACGAAAGTATAAGGGCGTCCGCCGGTGACAACGTCTCAACAATCGCCAACCATGCTTCCCGGGTGTGCCCCCAATTCACATCCAATATGCGTTTGAGACGCCTAAATGGAGTAGAATACAGAAAACTCCTCTTTTTATTGCTCTTACCTGTAGGCATTTTCTGTGTCGCTGAGCGCTGAAAACACCTGGTGTACCGTTTGGCGTAATGCGAAACGACCACAGCAAATGTCTTGAGAAATAACTTTTGCACTTCTTTGACGGACTCTTCTTCGGCAGATTTGTTCTTTGAGAGAAACAAAGCCGGTGCCGCTGCCTTTAGTACCTCTTCTGCACATCGCAGTGGGATGGCAGAGTGGCCCATTGGAAGCGTTGCTGTCTGACGAAGAACATGGCTCCATTCCTCCAGTGATAACGGTTCACTCTTACAAAGAAGAGGTAAAAGATGTCGCTGGAGACGTCGCTGGTACTTTACGGGGAGGCTTGGAACCTTGGCAGCTCCCAAGATGCACTGAATGACAGTAACCGCGGACAGACGATGAAGCGGTCTCTCCATGAGTTGTTTAATGTTATCCGGCACGGAAGTCACCGGTGCTCCCGTCTCTTGCTGCTCTCTCGTAAATTCGGAAAGTTTTGCCGCCTCTCGTTCCGAGAGCGGGTTCGCGTGGTTGAACAGCACTGACACGGCACGCGGCACAAAAGCCAAGTTCCCCTGAAGTGCCAGAACAATAGAAGATAAATCCATTGCGTCCAGAATTCACGATCCCACAGAAAAGAAAACAAAACAACAAAAAAAAAAAAGAAAAAAAAAAGGCTGCTTCTTTATTCGTTCGGTCTTTTATTTATTTATTTTTTTTGTTTTTTTCCTTCTTTTATTTCTTTCTTTGACGCTTTTTCCTACCTTGTCAGTTGAAACATCAAATAATGAAACGCGGGCAGTCAAGCAACACCATCAATGGAGTGAGCGCAGTACATGACACTTCTCAGAGAGCGCAGTACAAAAAAAAAAAAAAAAAAAAGATTTTTTTCCTTTGATGTGCGTAGCACAAAATGTGAGGGGAGCATCTTCTTCCTGCAAGACTGCAGCTCCAATACTACCCTCCTCCCGGCGCCACCGTGTCTCATTTAATTCTTCGCCGCTGCACTCTGTTCTCTAGTTTGCATCTTTAGCGGTGCGGGCCTCATACATTACCCCCACATGAGCACCACTCCCCGTATCTTTTCCTCACGCCTCCCATGCTTGGCCCATCCATTGAAGTCACCTCCTATTCTTCCCTTCCTGACCTCCCTCTCCGGCCTCTCAGCTGTGCTAGAGCCGCTCTTCTCGCCCACACACACTCTCTTTCCTATACCACCTTCATCTTTTGCGACCCCTCGAGATGACGGTTTTGAAGGCCATCCACGTAGCAGAGAATTTGTGCAATGTGCCACACTACAGATATCATCATACCAGCAGCAGGGCAATTGATAAAGGCAAACCAAACAAAAAAAAGACCCGCCAGTGCCGTTGGATCGACTCGAGGCAACCGAGCACAGTGAGAATAAATAAGAATGTGAACAACCGTACTGGAGGTGCACGAGACCGTGATGAACCAAATAGCCACGTATGAAAATGGACCCCAAACATATCCGGCAGGATCCACCTTCACTAACTGTGCCGTTTGGTAAGGTATGACGCCAAGCATCAGGACAGTGTTCAACAGCAGCGCCAACGTCGTAATTCGAAAGAGCATCTTCCAGTTTTTGAGGGCTATGTCCAGAATGACATACACCTGAGAAGCCCAATAAATAACCATAATGGCCTCAACGTAACGGAGAGGCAGCAGTGCATGTGCCCACGTTTCTGGTAACACGGCATACAAAAGAGCTGGGGATACCTTTGCAGAGGCAAGTCCTGGAAACAAAAGTGGAATCCAATGTACAACACAAAAAAAAATCATTGCTTCATCAACGGAAACAAATCTATTACCCCAAATAAAAATGTGTTTCTCGTAATTTAATGTGTGCGAGAAAACTGTGGCCATCGCGACTGTCACAACAGCAAGTGAAATGTTCGAAAATGATATACCAAAAACGGACAAGGCAACACATGTTGAAAGCAGCGAGGTAACACAATCAAGACCATGGTCGAGATATTCACCAATACAACTTGACTTCTTCAGTCGGCGTGCGAGACGTCCGTCGGTGTTATCGGCAATGCAATAAATGCTGTTAAGAATGCCACATGTAAACAACAACCAATTACCAGAGGGAAAAATCGAGCTCCAAAGCGGACGCAGGGTCGTTGGATGCAATGGAGTGGGGCCAAAAAAGTTCTGCCACTTTGAATCCTCCCCAAGAAAACTTGCGGGACGGATGGTGGCGTACGGTGGCTCGAACAGGGTGGTTGGCGGCATTCCCGTGAGAAGCAGCAGCGATGAGAGAAGAGTCATGAAAATTCCGAACAAAGTCACTTTATTCGGAGTCCACGACGTTGGATAATAAAGCACGACAAGATCATAAAATGGAGTAAGAACATGCTCGGTGAGATAACTCAGCTGCGGCGGCACAAACGGCCTGTCGTCCGTAGGAGACACAGAAAGAAAAAGATCCATTCCTCACGGCCCAAGGTCCACCCCGTGGTTGCTTCTAATGACAGTTATTCACGTGACAGGCTTCAGTGACATAAAAAAGACAAAAAAAAATATTAAAAAAAAAACAAAAAGAACGACAACAAAAAAGACCATCCAAATCCCCAAGGTTTATCTCTTCCTTCAAACTTTTTCGCTTATGCATGAAAAATTCAGGAGTCGAACGACACAACAAGAACCCCTCTGTTTTTCCCTTCTTTTCTCCTGCAGCTAATGCACCATAATAAGCCCTCGCCCACCAACATTCTCCTTTACCGCCTGTATGTGGTCAATAACGCGATTGTCCGCCGTCCGGCAAATGTACACCACCAGACGATTGTGAATACCGTGTGTGTTCATCAGTCTCCGCATCATCTTGGGACTCCACTCAAATTCGGTTTTGCCGTCATAGGCACAGGGCTCAATAACATTGATCGTGGAGTCGCCCTGAAAGTATTTCAGTTCCACGGCAAAGGCTCGGTCGTTGTGAAAATCACGAAAACCAGCTACAAGTCCATGACCAAGCATCACCCGGGCACAGCCACGGGTTTCAACTGTGGAAGGTACAATGACGAAACGTTTCCTCTGCTCCGTTGCCTCGCGGATACGATGGCAAAAGTCATAGACTGGGGTGAACACATTGTATGTCCAGTACCGTGGTTCACGTTTTTCTATTTGGATGCGATCTTCGTCCTGTAAACTGGGGTTGTCATATGTGCCGTAGTACAGTGCATGATCCCCTTTGTGCTGAAAGAACAGCCTTGTGATCGGATCGGCGGGCAGGTCACGGCGTCGCTCCACACCCGGCAGGTCGACAAGCCGACGCTGTGGCAAAGCCTCGCCTCCATTGGCTTTGTTGCGCTCTAGCCGTGTGCGTGGTGGAAGACGTTCCTCCTCTAGCATGGCATTGAGCTGCTGGCGGAGCCGCTTCTCGTCATATTTCACATCATTGGCGATGGCAAAAAGGCTTCCCTGACGTTCTCGTTTCCCGTGCAGCAATCGATGACGAGCCGGCTGCATCTGGCCAGTGCCATTCGGAGGCGCTGCACCATAAACTTTCGCTAAAGGAACAATCGTCCGTCGAAGCATGCGTCCTTAAAAGGGAATTTTTTTTTTTCCTTTTTTTTTTTTAGTGCTGTCGCACCCCTTCAATTCGCTTCTTCCTTTCCTTACACTTTCCCCGACCACCGCCTCGCCCAACTCCACAGGAAACACACGCACAGAAAGAGGAAGGAAGAGAAAGTGTGTACGTGTGTGTAGGGGAGAAAAATAAATTAAAAAAGAGAAGAGGTTGCAAAATACAGCCAATGTATATAGATGCCTGTAATTAAACATTTACCGACGCGCATCCAAAAAGCTCACACACAACACGCAACGCTCATGGCTCTTATCATTCTTTTGCGCTCATACCCATTTCCCTCTCATATTGCGTTATCAACAGTTGAAAGCTTTTTCTTTTAATTTCTTAAAAAAAAAAAAAAACACCAAAATTAAAGACAATCGCGTTACTCGAAAAAGACTAAATGACCTGTCGATACATCTCATAGGGACCACTTTCTTTTGTGTCGCGATGTATCTTCACAATGCTTCCACGTGCAAGACCCAAGTATGCCACCATAGGGTCTTCTTTTAGGATGCGAGGTAACTGGGAGAGAGAAATCTGACGCTGCTGAAGAAACAACTGCGCCTCTTCAGGGGAAAGCACCTCATGCTGGGGCACTGTTTCGTGACGTGCAATGTTGTAAGCGAGTTCATCCTCCTCTAATAGTTGAATCGACATAATTTCCTCGCCTGTGCCAGCGCGGAGAAATCCACTCAGCTCGCGTGCACCACGACGAACCATCGGAGGTATTTTTCCGGCGGATACAACCACCATGCAATTGGCCTCTTTCAGCAGAGCCTTCTCGCGACACTCCTGCAGCTCACTCATGCTAAGTGACGGCGACGCCGAGAAAAAAACAAGCATTAAACTCCCCTTTTTTTCTCCTCGTTTACTCAATGAAACCTCCTCATCATCCGTCGCACCGTCTAACTCAGCACTGCAAACAAGCCGCATGGCACCACGCATCGGGATACGTTTTTTGTTTTCCTCCAACAGTTTGTTTTGATTTGTCGGCACCCTCACCTTGTCGTCCTCATCCTCCTCTGCCCTCTCAGCCCCGGAGGCCGCGGCCCGCTGAGTCACAAAACGTTGAAGGAACCAATCATAGTCCAGTCCGTGTTCGTAGCTGTACACAGAAGGGTCGCGAACAGCCTGCGCGACGGCAGAGGGATGGCGCACTGTGTAGCCACGATCCATGCACATCTGAATTGCAGTGTTGTAGGCACGATAGAGCCGTACGATTTTTAGCTCCTCAATCGAACTCATTTTTCAGACTATGTGTGTGACAGGAGTGAGTGGCTGGCCTTTCCTCCTCCTGCTCTGCTCAGAATTCCGCCACGCACCCGAGACGGCAATGCATCACAATGAGGTCCAATAAAAATATTAAAAAAAGCAAAAGAAAAGAGAATTAATAACAAATGGAGACTCATAAATAAAATTACAAAAGCAACCAAAGATAATAAAAAAAATAAAAAAAAGAGACGGAGCGTCCAGCCACACAAACATAGTCAATAGCATATCAATAGTGAGAAAAGGAAGAAGAAGAAGTGACGTGTCTACACCACCTGTCGGTAGGTCACGTAAAAGCCCGCCGACATACTCTTTCGCTCAATCCGCACAACACGCCCTCGCTCCAACCCCAAATACGCCGCAACGGGATCGGTCGAGAGAATGCGCGGAAGCGCACTTAACTCCAGCGCATGAGCCTGCAGCATCTCCTTTACCTCTTCATCCTCAAGTTGTGTGTGTTTTGGCACCAGCTCATGGTGTGTGATATTCACCACAAGGTCATCTTCATCAAAGAGCTGAATTTTCAAACCGAGGCTGCTTCGATTGATATCCTCAACATGCCGTTTAACAATTGCATTTATCCTTCCTTGCACCACAATAATAACGCGATCGCAGTTTGCCTCCGACGCCTGTGTGTGATACCGCTTCATCGTTTCCATGGAAAGTCCCTCTGAAAAAAACACCATGGCACGGCTACGCTGCGAAACACCGATGCGTTCGCACGGGACCGTCATGCGGTCGCGGTAAATTACCCCTTCTCGTGGGTCCGTGTACCAATCCTTAAACTCCTCCACAGAACTCGGAATTATCTTATCGGCCACCTGGTATTTTCTGTCACACATCATCTCCCCCACGGTCCGCATGACACGGAACATCTTGTCGTACAACAGGGCCTCTTGCCCAATCGCGTTACTCTCATCGCCCATAACGGCTGCAAATTAATTCCAAAGCTGACGATTTCCGCCGCACCTCAGTTTCTTCTCTTGCTTTCCTGCAGCCCTATATATATATATATATATAATAAAATAAAATAAAATAGGGGTTTCGGCAGCAAAGAGCCATTAACGCCGGCCACATCAAAATCCGAGAAAATAAAGGAAAATCACACGCAGAGAGACAAAGAAAGTAAATATATATATGTATATGTATTTATAAAGGAGAACAAAAAAAAAGAAAAAAAGGAAAGAAAAAAAGCGCGCCGTATACTGAGTGTTATATATAAAGCATTCCAAGCTTGGATTTGACGTCTTTACCTCATTCTGTTTCATTACAAATCAAATGCTGCACAGCAGTATCGATAAAATTTGGCCCATTCACCAGTACCATACAGGGGGGAAGTGGTGCTTTCCAATAGGAACTGTAAGTTTATAGAAACAACCACTATTTCCAAGTCCCTCCTGTCGAAAGCCTTTGATACATTATCCCGTTCATTATTTTTTTCTTTTTTTTTCTCTTTTGGCTTCTCTTTCATTTGGGTCTTTCGATCGTCATCCCCACCGGCAGACAGAACTAAAATTACCCACATTCATTCCAAATGGATCAGGCAATGAGATATCTAAATCCAACTCCTTCGGTACCGCAATCACAGCAGATCACAGAGACCGGATAAATGAGGGTAAATAGTCAAAGAAATATTACAAATAAGGAACAATCCAGAAAATTACAACAAAACTCTACTTCCATCGTGTGCGATTGTGTGTGTTGCCACATTTTTTTTTTTCTTTTTTTTTTTTTTTTTTTTTTCTAATGGTCACTCCCTTATCCACAGATTCCACTGTTCTATGCCCAAATTAGGAACCGTGTTCAGTGTTATTCAAGGGCAAATACGACTGTTGCACGCTCTTCGGTACAAACGCACTGTGTGCCCGGTTCATAGCAGAAGCCAAAAAGGCGCTCCTCGATTTGCCAAGCATGGAAATAATCCTGGGCTCCAAAGGTGATGAGTTCGTTGACGGACTTCCTTCACTCTCAATTGGGCCCCTCCAACCTCGACGAAGACGGATCCTTGTAAGTGCACCACTGCTTTTCTTCCGTATTCCCACACAAATATGTGTTCCGTCTGTAGATGCTAAGACTTTTCGAAAATCTTTCAACGTTCGCACGCTATGGCCTCCTACTTCCCATATTTGATCACCTCGCTGGATCCCAGCTGCCTCTGCCTCTCCATGCACTTCAGTGACAGTCAATAAGGAGGAAACACAAAGCCCTAAGGGAGGTCGCTCAGATACACCTAAATCAGGCACAACATTTGGCCTATGAACAAAAGCGGAGGCAGAATAACCAGAGTGGTCGCTGCTCATACCACTAAAAGCAAGACGCGGGGAACTGCTGCAACTACTGGGTGAACGAGGAGACTCTCGAGAACCAGTGTGAGCGAATTCGTAACCTGACTGTGAACTGTGATCACCTCCAAATGTTTTCATGGGCGCAGACACGGAAATGGCATGAGTGCCGGAACTTACTTCTTGCATATGTTGCTGTGCGGGAAAAAAAGACTTTTTTTGAACTGATATATTTTGGTTGGCGTTTCGCGATGAAACACCTCTTTTCTCAGTCCGTGCAATGGCCTCTATTGTTTTCGCGATAAGCTCTGCATTTTGACCACGCACCGGCCTTGTTTTTGATGGCACCACATGTTGTGGTGCCAACGCCTCGCCTAAAGTTTTTTCCCAAAACCGAGAATTCAAAGACTCCGTCTCCTGAATCGGACTCTTCGTTGGGCTTCCCTCCAACGGCACTCTCCGCAACGCCAGGGACTCACGATGGCCTTTACGTATTCGTGCAATGTATTGCCACCTGGCAAAAAATCGAAGAAGAATAAACTGCTCGGTTGAACGCAACATCAGTAATACCGCCTGATCACGTCTAACAGCGGCATCCCTTATTGTGGAAAAAGAAGGCTTCACGCGGAGGTCTGAAACATGACGCATAAAAGGCCTGGAGCGTTGGGGTGGTGCAAGTAAATGCTGTTTGACAACCTGATGTAATGACGCAAAATCGTGCAATTTTTTGTGAACCCCCTTTGGCTCTGACCCCGTGGCTAGCGCGTGTCCGTTCCCATCCGCGCCTTCCTGAGTGGGCTGCTTAAATGGGGTACTTTCTAAACCAAACCCAACAGTCCTCTTTTCTCCATCACTTCCTGAAACGACAACCGCCGTAGGACTCTCCTCGCGCATGCCAATAAGCGTACCCGAGCTCTGATAACTAGCACAGGCAGCGGGCAAAACTACAGGTGAATCCGAGGCTTCTAATGGCCCGACAGAGACGTTGACGGGGCAATTCCTTGAAATTGGATCCAAATTTCCGTCTGAATGAAAATGCGTGCTTCGTTGCCGCAACGCCTGGCCATTCGAATCCATCTCCATTGCGGAATCCTTGAGGTTCATGGACGATTTTGAGCAACTTTTTTCATCAGCATTTGCAGTGCCCAAACCTGGTGTTGTTTGGTTTACCAAAATTGGTGTTGTGCTATTTGAATTGTGTTCCTCGTAACCCTCTTTAAAGCCACAAGCATCATCATCTAGTGTAAGGCGCGGAATTACAATATGTGCCGAGGAAGGAAGTGGATCGTTGACACCAAACGCTTCAAGGTGTGGGTTCGCCCTCACAAGTGCATCTGTTGATATATCATGTAGAAGCGCCAAATGAGCAAATGTAATAGGCTCATTGTCGGGGGTGGCTGCGTTCTCCTGCAAAGAATTCATAGACAAACGCACAGGAAACAACTGTCGTCCACAAAAAAACAAACTTTCCTCACTTGCTAGTCGAACTAATTTCTCGTCCGCACATTCATTACGAAAGGAGCTCGTGCTTTTGCCTGCGATACTGTTATCTGGGGGCAATTGCATTCTTAAATCATTTGCATTGACATTCTGCCTCTCATAGCCACTTCCACTCATTTTATCACTTGGGACTGGGGGAAATGCGTTGACGTCTTCAACGCAACGATGGTAAAGAATACGGACCTGCGGAAAGTCAAAAACAGTAAGAAGTGCGTCAATCTCCGCCGCTTTTAAGTAACGATCATGCATGAGATTAAAGGTGACGTGAAGACTACCAAGTACAAACTCCACTGCCGTGACATTCTCCTCCGGAAGTTCAAACAATGCAGCCACTTCCGCTATAAATGTGCGGCGCAGCTCGTCCCTTTCCTTTTCAAGGACGAGATCCCATCTCTCTCCTGAAATGACCTTTTTATGGGAGGTGTAGAACCACTGCACGGTCGGTTCCCAAGCCTTTCGAGGACCCAAGACGAACCCTCGTTCTGAGCTCTCAGGCAAGTGCGGATTCATTAAGAGACTGCCGTTACCAAAAATACTCTTCTCTTTGTAATCCGCATCATTGACCTCACAGTCATTCCTTACGGGCGACGGGGATGGCGATGACGCAGACAACTCCGTTCTTTCTTCATCCACCGTTGATGTTGACACGTGCTCGTGGCATGGGAATGCAGAGCTCTGCGGAGGCAACGGTGGCAAGACACACGCTAGATGCGTGTTGGGAAAACGAAAAGAAGAAACTTCCTCCAATGCATCACTCGCCTCACTCTGTGGTTCCTGCTGCCCCGTGTGGTTACGGTAAGTGGGCAACGACACATCAAATTGCTTTTGTCCGCCTTGCTGCTCGTGTCCCGGCATGTGTTGATTTTGTGTTGACTTTTTCATAACGAGTTTGCGGGTATATTTTTCCTGGACAATCAAAGCATCCCTCGACAGCGTCTCTTTCTGAATGATCGCAGAGGATGCATCCAGCAAAAGTTTGTCATTTTTTATTTTGTTACTAAGACAGTTATGACAATCATCAAACCCACTTCCACTGCGGCTATCACTACTCCCTGCATCGCTATTTGGGACAGCAGTGTTTGCAAATTCTGGTGGAGACATGGATTCAGGATTGTCACGGCTTGCTACCGACAGAAATGAGTTTGTGTCACTTTGTGAAACTTCTTTTATCTCCTCTTCTTCCTTCTTTTTCTGTAATTCTTCGTAAAGAAGAAGCATGCTGATAAATTCGTGATTTTGTATCCTCGTGTTGACTTCATTCGCCTCAAGTGATAAAGGAAGACGCACTCGAAACTTCACCGCTTGATCTCCACCAGTCAATGTCGTCTGTGTATCATTCGCCAACTGAACATCGGACACCCATCGGTGCGGAATCCCAAACAGCAGTACTACTTCTTCAATGAAAAGTTCCTTCCACCTGGAGGTGAAAGTAGGGTCCTCATTACGCAAAAGCTCTCGCCAAAGTTTTCCCCGAAATATTCTTCTGTGTACATTCACACGAGTTGGTACTGCTGTACTGAGATCCTCGTTTCGAATTGGCACACGCACGGTTGTGTTTGGAGGTAAGAGTTTGTTTTTAAATGCAATTAATTGTGTATTGATGCTCCACAGCTCTTCCAGCGGGATGCAATGGGTTGATGCTATGGTTTCCAAGGAATCGGCATTTCCGCAATTTATTTCCCTAAACTTCGGAGAAGTTGGTGACGCAACCTTCTTGTCGTACGGTCGCTGTGAAGAAGACTGTCCCATCGTGTCGGCATTTCCAGACGAAACACTAGCGGAAAAACAAGAATAGAAAGAATTGCTGCTTGATTCCTTCCTCTCTTCTTGAAGAAATGGCAAATGCTTCCCTTCACAACAACTGGTGCGTGTTTTACTTACCTCGCGTTCCTCCTTCTTTTCTGCCGTGGGGCGCAAGCGAGTTGTCGTTAAATATCTTGGAGAATTTCTATTAATTTTTTTCCCCTGTGATCCGTTTTCAAAAGAAATTGACTTTGGTGGATTGTCTCTATTTATTTCACCAGAGGAGAGCATGCCACCTGCTGCATGGGAGGACTCCGTTGATGGTGCCTCTAAAGGCTCAGAAGACCGTTGGGAGTCAAGCACGAAGTACCGTGAACGAGCGGTGCCCTGTCCAGCCCTGGACGACAAAGGCGTTTCATCAACTGTTGCCTCCACCGCCAGAAGCACGTCCAGCAGCTGCTTGATCGCCAAGGAGGCGCGCTCTGTGATGATGCGCCGTCCAGCAGATTCTTCACCCAGCAGACGAGAATGCTTGAGGCCACCGAGGGTGACAGCCACACGCCGCACTCGTTCGTGCAGAAGACGAGACTTTTGGACAAAAGATGGAAAATCCGCTATTTTTGGCGAGGAAATCTGGCTTCCACCGGTCACCTCGCCTTCACTGACCTCACGGGGTTCAGGTACTAACTTTTTTAGCAGTGCAGCGGTGTGCTCACATACCAGCTGACTATTATGCGCAATAGTTTCCGTCATTGAAGAGAGTGTGGGCACGGAAGAGCACTGGGTCTCGTGCAGCGTGGCCCGCGCCGTCATGTGAAGATCCGAGATGGAAAGAATTTGCTCGAGAACACCCACTGCATTCTGGCACGCCTCGTTCCTCGACGGCAAATCCGTTTCTAAATGCGGAAAAAACTCACAACGCCCCTCCCCCATTTTCGCTTCCTTATCTTTCGTACTTCCTCCGCCGGGCAGAGCAATACTCAAATGCGCCTTTAAAAAAAAACCACAGGAGAGAGAAAGAAAAAAACCAGAAGAAAGAGGGTTGTTTTACAGAGGCAGGGAATGCAGCTACAACAACAAAAATGTCAACGTGAGAATGCCTCAGGGTGTGGCCTCGTCCACAAAAACCTTTAAAAGAGGGAAAGAGAATAAATGGACATGGCGCCAGGTGTGAATTCCACCTTCCTCACACAACCAACTTCCACAGAACAATTAGTCAGCATGCGTCTCCTCTTCTGTGAAACGCAACTGACTCCACGGCACAACTCCCAACTCCACCCGCTTGCGCTCCACCAGCGCCATCACATCCTCCACGGTCACACTCGCATCTTCTTTGTACAGCTGACGCTCCATCTCGAGCTCACCACTCTTCTTCTTGTGCTTCAGACTCGACCGATGCAACGCCGCTGTTCGACTATCGCTGCAGTACACGTTGCAGGAGGGGCAGTAGAACGCACCCGCGGAACGACCACCAACCGGCGTGTGAAACATAACTTCCTGCGAAAAAGAAGCGACGACAGTCGTTGTAGTGATGATGATAATGTCGGTAGAAACCGCTGTTGACCCCACCCGCTTCCTGAAAAAAAAAAAAAAAAAAAAAAAAAAAAACGCCTCTGCCGAACAAAAATCCTAAAAGCAAAACAAAAGGGAAAAAGGTAGATAATAATTTAAATTAACTCCCCATTATGTATAAATAGACATATATGTATAGGGATGAATATAAAAAAATAAAATGGAGTGTCAAGAAATTCGAGATGGCACTGGTATGGTAGTGTAGGACCAGTCCGTACAAAAGCAGTCATAACCATCTTCCCTGTGCAAAACACACACACAAAAAAAAGGGGGGTAATGCAAAAAAGTCCCTGAACTATTTTTTTGCTTGTTTTTTTTTTTTTTTTCCTCTCTCTCCTTCGTTCCCAAAGCTATCCCCTCGTCGCCTCCAATGATTCACATGGGCACGAAAAGGAATAGACCTGAAAAAAATCTGAACGAGAAAGAGTAATCATGAAAAAGTGATCCCCTGACATAAAACCTCACACTTCCACTACCAGCGGAGTAGGGACTAAACAGGAACCATCCAAACCTGGTCACCGTGTCCATCGGCGTTCGAAGCACTTTTTCCCTCTTGATGCCTTGTCGCCAGAGTATATATACGGAATTTGGCTCAACTGAGACTTCAAGGCACTCGCAAAAACATAATCAGAACTTTTTTTGGAGGTTGAGATGCAGATTTTGGTGGCGATGAAGCGAATGTCGTGTCCCTTTATCTTTTTCATCGCCCACCAAACGAGAAACAAAACGAGTAGCCCTCTCATGTGCAGAACCGTCACTATTATTTTTATCAAAATTAGAGTGTGAATTTGGCCGTGGCCGTGTGACGGCGGTATAAAAGGGTTGCAGATCCTTGAAAGGAAGTGATCCACGTCCAGAGGTGTGTGTCGCTTGCTGTGGATCAACGAAAGAAGAGACTGCAGTGGGAAGTGTAAGACACTCATTCACCACAGAGGGGGTTGGTGGTAAATCCAAAGACGTGTATCCATTCTGAGCCATCCGTTCCCCCATACGCCCAATTCCTTTCTCAACATCGATGTGAGAGCGGTTCAGAGAGGAAACAGGCAATGGGGTCGTCTGCTCAGCAAAATTGCTCTCATCATGGTACAATGCCCCGATTTGTTGTGCCGCATTCCCCCAACGTGTTTCACGTGCATCCCACTGCGTCTCGGAGCATTGAGAGGCGTGGGGCTTCGGAGAAAACGTCCTTTCCTTTTCTTTTTCTCTAAGGAACTGTGGTGCGAAATTATGCCCTTCTTCTCTGCTGCAGTTGAAATGGTGATGGTAATGATGCATAACACCGCAATGAGCGTCCATTGTTTTCAAAGGGGATGCCATCGCCAGTGACTCCAAGGCAGTAGGAGACGTCAATTCACCCGTCGGACGTTCCTGTTGGTGATTTTCATCCTCTTCACCAGATTTCGACTCAGGGCAACTATTATTCTGCGATGAAGGTAAAGGCATTGCCTTTTCAGAGGGTTCTTTCTGCGTCACGGTCAAATTAGTAGTGGCAATCTTCGGTTCTTGAGGAAAAGAAGCCTCTTTTGATCGCGATAAGGCCTCCGTCCTGCATTTGCCGTCAGTGGTAGCAGAACGCAGCTGCCCTTTGCGGAATGAACTCACGACATCAAACTTTGGCAACGGTTCAGCTCGTTCTGTGAAATTCCCGCCTTCAGCCAAGAGAGTGTTATCCTCCATATTTTGCAGAGACGCTTCTATAGCTTTATCATCCACCACTAGGATATGGGATTGTATCCAATAGTAGCTGTCATACAGAACCTTTGCGACCTGTTGAGTGACATTGAGAGCCTCCATGGCCTCCTTCAACTCTGCTGCGGAGTGTTCACGGAGGTACGCCTGGCACGCACTTGCCAAGGAGCTTGGAACGGATAAGGGAGGCATCGCAAATATGAGACGCAGACTTACACCAAAAGTGCCAGTGCCGACGTTGTACAAATGACTCAACTGTTGTAAAGTGGCGCACAACGCTGACAGCGCTCTGAAATACGGATCGGTTGATGTTTCCAACTTTGCTCGACGAGAAAGAATATTCCTCTGAACGCAAATCATGGCGTCCTCCACGGACATCAAGTTCATTTCGATACCTGTTGTCGCTGTAGTTTCAATGGGCGGCGGCAGTGACGGGGACATTGCGGTGGCGAAAATGGAAGGAAGCGCCTCCACCTGTTGCTCCAGGCCCTGTATTCGTTCTGTCCATTTGATTAACTCCTCCTTTTCTGCCTTGGATGCATCTAGGCGTTCCTCCGCCGCACGAGACTTACGGGCCATAATCGAGACTGCCTCTTGCACATCCATCATGCTCTCTTGAAGAGTTGCGATACGACTCTCCGTCTGTTTGCACCATTCGGAATGTGGAGCCAATTCACCTTTCGACCTTTTTCGCAACGATTCTAAGTCCGAGTAGAGACTGCTGACAGCGGCTGATAACGTTTCCAACCGGAGAAACACCTTTTCGTCGCGAACAGCATCAGTCCCATTGGTTTGCCGGTCATCCAACTCCGTACTCAATCGTGACGCGGAAAAAGTATCAGGCATACCTTCCACGGCACGTACCACCTCCCCGCAAAGCTTTAGCAGCTCCCTGCGTATCTCGCTGCATGACTCCGCATCCTCTCTTCCAAGTGCAAGAAGTCTTTGGTGTTCTTGTAGCACCTCTTCCTTTGTTTGCCGCTCCGCGGCGGTGCGTCGTTCCCACATTTCCTCGTACTCTGTTACACGCTGCCAAAGACTTTCCTCTTTGGTCGTGCTCTGCCTTTGTTCGTGTGCAAGATACTCCCTTAATTGGTGATAAAGAGCCTCGTCGTGTGCTCCGGCAATGGCATTTACGGCTTCACGTGCCGTTAAGACTAACGCTGATGGCAAGGACTGAGAGGATGACAAATGCTTTTCACCCGACATATCGGTCTGCTGTATCTGCGCGGCCAACTGTCGCGAAACCTCGTTCACTACTCGCCCCATGAACTCCGGGGCTTCCAACACCGAGCAGGCCAACGCGGTCATTTCGTGCTCACACCTACTTTTTTGTCGTCGGTTGTTGGGCGAGAAAAAGTCCGAGTCATCGTCCACAACTTCAGTGGCACTCCGCTCCGCTCGCCGACTTCGTTCCTGATTAGCGCCGCGCCCGCCGTTGCCCCTCTCTGGTGAGAAAAAGTCAGAGGGGCTCTGGGCCAGCTGAATGGGAGACAGTCCGACAGGAATTTCGATACGCGGTGGGGAAGGCATGTCCAAGTCATCAAATCGCTCACGTCTTCTCTGCGTTGCGATGCCACCCTGGCGCTGCGTTGCATTCTGGTGCATGCCGTGGACGTTCCCACCGTTTGGGGATGCAGAAGAAGCCAAAACTACTTCTCTTTGATGCAATACCGTCGCCAAACTACATGACAGGGAAGAAATAAGAAGAGATCGTTGTGTGCTCTCCTCGAGGGCAATTTCCAACCTACTGGTACTCTCCTCCTGGGTAATGCGGTAGACCTCCCAACGCGCCCCGAGTGTAGCCATGTAACGCGCAAGCCTTCGCCCATCGGTTTTGGGAGTTCTCCCCACCTTCAACCTCTTCGAGTCGTCGATGCTAGGAGAACTCTGCACAAAGTCCGCTCCGCCTTGGGCACAAGCCTCGGTCGTCACCACACCATTCTCTCGAAAGGATAAACGGCCATCATCACTCTCATCTGAGACTGACGTGTCCAAGATACTTTCATCGTCTTCTTGCTGCTCGCCCTCAACACTTTCATTGCCGTATTCAAAACGATGCGTTGGGGTTGTCAAAACTGTCTCACCCCTTGATCCTGCTGTTCCTGTCCTCGCCTCAGTAGGACCCTGTTTCAACGGCGTTTTCATCCCAGACTCTGTCAACGGTTGATCCCCACGAGAATTTTCTCGGCGACGGCGCAACCCCGTAATCCACGCCTTTTCACGCTGGTGACTATAATTCATACCAATCCTGTCTCGCAATTCGCATAGCAACTCCCACATGTATTGTACCACCCATGGGTTAACATACTGGACACGTGACTCCAGCTCATGCATGCGTGTCTCCAGCCGCTTGAGACCCCGATGCAAGACGTCCACCTCCTTCACTGTAGCCTTTGCCGTCTCCTTTTTGTGCTGCACAACAAGTGCGCGGCTGCGTGAAGTAGCTGTGGTGCCGACCTCGGCTGCACACGACTTCCGTGCTGCCAACGAAGAGGGTGTGGCGATCACCAAGTCGCCTAAATTGGTTGGGGTGTTCATGTATCTGGCGGAACAACGAAACAACAAAAATAAAATGCGTGTCACACTGATTCAGCGCGTGGGTGCGAGTGTGAGTGTGCGTGTAAGAGAAAGCAACCAGGACGATACACACAGGCCCTCACAGCTTTCCCGGGGCCTCCAAAAAAAAAAAAAAAAAAGGAAGAAGCAATGATTTACAAAAAAAAAAAAAAAAAGCACAATAATAATGATAATAACAGCAAAGACAGGTCCGACATAAACATCTATCCGCGTGGCAAACGACCGCATACTTGCCTGCAGGCGTCATGGGGCATTTCCTAACCCAGAAAAAAAAAAAAACGATTAAAAGAACAATTTCGTACTAATAAAAAAGCGTTTTTGCCCGTCCCTTTCCATCCCCGCATCCCCTTCTCCGGTCGTTCCCCTCAGTGCACAGTCAGTGCCCACAACGACAGGAATAAGGAGAGATAACCCTTCCCCTCCGATTCCCCACCAAAGAAAAAAAAATAATAAAAACCCGAAAAAAAAAAAAAATAATAAGAAATAAATAGGTAAGTTGCGCTAGCTTAGTAGCGTTTTAAAAAATGCCTGCCCTCGTAAATACAAACTCTTTTCATTGTTTTTTGCTTTTCTTTTATTTTTCACTGTCTACATTGACTCACGGTAGATCTTCATCACATCTTCCTTGCTGCCCTGTCGCGGGTTAGTGGCGGCGCAAACATCCTTCAAGGCTGATTCTGCCAGCGCGGGAATGTCCTTCTCCTTCATACCAAGTTGTTCAAATCCTGGTGGGATTTGAACTTCCTTTGATAAAGCACGAATCGCATCAATTGCAGCAGCAGCGGCATTCTTATCGTCCATGCCTGTCGTACTGACACCCAATTGCACGGCAACATCACCCAAACGGCGCGCACATACGAAAGAGTTGTAATTTTCCACGTGTGGCAGCAGGATGGCGTTACAGACGCCATGGGGGAGGTCGTAGAAGCCACCAAGCTGATGAGCCATTGCGTGCACGTAACCGAGACCTGCACTGTTAAATGCCATTCCAGCAAGATGCTGCGCGTAGCACATACCCTCTCGTGCCACAAGATTCTTGCCATCCTTCACCGCATTAGAAAGGTGCTGTTTGATAAGTCTCATGGCATATAGCGCGCACGCATCTGTGGTTTCGCTTGCGCCCACTGACACATACGCTTCAACTGCATGTGTGAGAGCATCCATACCCGTGGCAGCAGTAAGAGAAGGCGGCTGTCCCATCATCAGTTGAGCGTCGTCTATGGCAACGAGTGGAGTCACAGTATCTGTCGTAATCACCATCTTGACGTGTCGCTTCTCGTCCGTAATAACCGCAAAGCGCGTTATTTCGCTTGCTGTGCCCGATGTTGTGTTTATGCAGACCAGCGGGTACTGGTCCTTCTCTGCCTTGTCCAGACCCTCGTAGTCATAGATGGTTCCCCCATTAGCCTTGACAAGTGCAATGCCCTTTGCACAGTCCTGCGGCGATCCACCTCCAATAGCGATGATAGAATCGCACGCATTCTTGTTCAGCAACTCCAGACCAGTCTCCACGTTGTGGGCAGTTGGGTTCGGATGCACATCCTTGAATACGACAGGGTCCATTTGACACTTTTTCTTAAGCACATCCATGACGGTTTCAAGAATGCCTGCCTTTTCGATGCCGGTGTCGCACACCAATAAGGGCTTCTTAAAGCCCAACTTTGTCATCTTGCTCGTGGCACTGTCGAGCGCCCCAACGCCAAGGTAACTGACCTTTGGCATGAAAAAGGTGGAGGCCGCAGCACTTGGGCGTGAGAAGCGAAACATGATTGCCGGATTCCTTTGGATAAAAATCCTAAAGCAAAAGAATATATTTTTTTTTAGTTACTGTAACTTTCTTTTTTTGTTTTGTTTTGTTTTCGGATGTCTGCTGTGGTTCAATGAGTTTTGGTTGACCAAATTTTTCTTCCATTCAGGCATAAAAAGTAAAAAAACAAAATAACAACAACAACGGAAAAAAAAAAACAAACAAAAAAAAAAAAAAAAAAAACAGCGTTTCACGCGTTTTTTGCCTCCTCGCTCTTAACTTCATTTTATTGTTGTTGTTTCATTTTACGTTCGCCCAATACGGGGCCAGGAGGCGGGCAGCTGGAGCCGGTGCAAAAACAATCGAGCCAGCGGGGAACCCACTGGGAGAAATGAGGCAGCAGCCGTCGCCAAAAAAAAAAAAAAAACACATGCGTGGTAACAGGGAAGCAAAAAGAACCGTACGAGTCTTTCACAATTCCCCAGAGAATTCCGGCAAAATGCACATGAAATTTGGCAAATGAGCGTCCAAATAAAACAAACAGCTCCTCAACTGCTGCTCGGGTAAGCTCAGTTAAACTCTAGAGAAGCCTCTTCTGCATGTAACACCAGTCACGGACGGTGAAAGCTTCTCCATGACCACACAGGACATAATTCACGCCGGCTGTTTCATGACTTCTTGGAATCAAATGAAATCAACCCATTTCATGCCATATCTACAAGTGGGAAAAAAAGAAGAAAAAAAAAAAAAGAAAAGGGTAATTGAAAACCAACTGGCAGTAGTCTTCAAGGGTGAGAGAGAAAAATGGTGCGAGCAGTCGAGATCGTCTAAGAGAACAAACACCCGCACGCAAACCTGTCCATCCATGCAAGAAAGAATTGCCTTCGGCTCTTGAAATGAGGGGTGCTTCACTTCAAATATGAATTCCTCTAGAATACGTTGTGAAACGTCAACTTATTTTCATCGCCCCTCCCTCCCACCCCTGCAAGGGCCTTCAATCTCTCTTATCCCACTTCTATTTCCCTCTTTCCTCATCCATCTCCTCCCTCCTCCCCTCACAGGCTGCTGGAACGGACCACCACCGTAGTCGTCGTTGTCGTTCTGCATGCTGTCTTTGTTTCTTGTTTTTATTTCCACCGTGGCGTGCAAGAAGGAAAAAAAGTAAAGAGTCAATGCGGCAAAAAAGCAGCAAAAAAAAAATGGAGGCTGTATGAATATAAAGAAAGAAATAAAAGCCTCCCCCCCCCACACAAGGGCTTTTTGTTTCTTTTCCCTTCTGTTGGTGCCAGCAAGATTCATTGCCTGATTGCCGCCGTTGCTCTCAATACGTGGCTCCCTCTGCTCCAGTTGCAGTGGTCAGTGAAAATCAAACCCGCAAAAAGTCCAAAAGAAAAAGCGACAATTTGCATCACACGCGTTGACCTTTGAATTTTCATGCCCGCCTCCTGCCAGCCATCGTGCAGCCCCTTTGGTTGTGTCTTCTCTCACCATTTTCATTACTTCCGTGTGTTTGTTGCTGCGGGGCGTCCTGCACCGCTCACACCGATCATGGAATACGTGGAACAAGACTTTTTTTTTTTTTTTTTCCTTTTAAGTCTATCATCTTTTTTCTTAATTCATCGTAATTTCCTTCTTTTTTACCCCGTGCTCTTGCGATCCCCCCAAAAATCTGTGAAGTAGGAGAGAGCGATTCGACGGTGTGTTGCTTCAAGACAGCAAACGAGACGCCGTCAGAATTTTCCTTTTATCTTCTCCCTCTGTCTGCCCTTGTGTGTTTTTCCCTTTCTTTTTCCTCTGGCCTTCTCTTTGTGTCCCCTCGCTTCTTTCCTCCCGCCTGGATGAATATAAATATTTAGGAGTGGGTGGGTGTTCTTCTCGCCCCATTATCGCATGTGTTCGCCAAAATTTCTTTTCTCCACGTATTTCCCTTGCTGGCTGTTCCTTCGTTACTTTTCTTTTTTTTTTTTTTCTTGCCTTTTTTCTTTAGTATTTGTTTGATCCTCTCTTTCTCTTTCTCTCTGTGGAGGCAAGGCTTCCCCGTGTCATCGTCGCCGTCGTCAGCGGCCCAGGAGACACCTGCTATCGGCCGCAACAGACATGACTAATGACCACCAGCCGGTGCCGCCGCATCCTCTTCGTCCTCTACTACTACTACACCACACATTACTTCTTCTTTCCCTTTCCTGTCACCGCCTTCGTGTGCTTGATGCCCTCAATGCTCACCTTCGGATCGAGTGCGAGGCATTCTGTCACGGACCCCCAGCCGACTGTGATCTTCCCCTCACGGATGGTGAACTTGAGTCCCTTTTCCATTGGCATTGGATAGGCAAGGGTGAGCAGGAGTTCGCGGTTATCACCAGGCATGCAGACAAGCGTCTTTTCAAACTCTTTCAGTTCTGCCTCCTTCTTCTTCTGTTCCGCCGCGTCACGGCCATACTTTTTGTTCAGTTCCCCTGCAAGCTTCTCGCTTTCTGGGAAGTTAATATCCGCCGTGACATCAGCACAGTGGAAGAAAAGCTGCGGACGATAGTGAGGACTAAAGGCTGTGTGACGACCGCCTTCTTCCTTTGTCAACACGTACACCTGCGCGCGGACCTTGTTGAACAGTGACGTTGCACCTGGTGCGGAGAGTACCATGCCGCGTTCCACATTTTCCTTCGACAGATTCACTGTTTCACCACTGCCAACGATCTTCGCGCCAACAGAGTCACCAGGCATGCAATCCTCCAGAATTTTATGGTACATTTCGATGCTAGCAACCTTCACCGTCAGCTTCTTTGCGCTGAACCCAGAAAGTTCTGCATCTGCGCCGACCTTCAACTGCCCCTGGTCCACACGCCCGCTCACAACAACGGCCTTCTTATCCTTTCCAACCTCAAAAACGTGCTCAATGGCCATAAGGAACGGTTTGTCGGTGGCACGCGGTGGGTCTGGAATCCATTCATCACATTTTTTTACAAGCTCCAAAATCTTTCCTTCATTTTCAGCATCACCCTCCAATGCCTTCACCGCAGACCCCCGCACAAATGGCGTCTCCTCCGCAGGGAACTTGTACTTCTCCAAAAGTTCACGTACCTCCATTTCCACAAGCTCAATCATGTCCTCCTGCCCTTGCATCATGTCACACTTATTGATAAAGCATACAAGAGCAGGAAGGCCAATCTGCGAACAAATAAGCAGGTGCTCACGCGTCTGCGGCATGCATCCGTCGTTAGCTGCCACCACAAGAATGCCGCCATCCATCTGTGCAGCACCTGTAATCATGTTCTTCACAAAGTCCATGTGACCTGGGCAATCAATGTGCCCATAATGACGCTTTTCTGATTCGTACTCCACGTGAGTGGCATTGATCGTAATCTTGCGATTTTTTTCTTCCGGAGATTTATCAATGGCGAAGTAGTCAAGTGCCCTCGTATTCCCATGCTTCGACAGAACCGTCGTGATGGCCGACGTAAGTGTTGTCTTGCCATGATCAACGTGTCCAATAGTACCGATGATCAGGTGTGGCTTGTTACGCTGAAACACCTCCTTCTTCGGGGCTAAAAGGGCACCTCGAATGGCAGCACGAAACATTGAGAATAAAGGCCCGCGTAAATCCTCTTCCTACAACGCTCTGTTAACAATAATTCTTTGGCGAGAGATTCACCTCTCAGAATCGTCCCTTCGTGGGGTATGTGTGTCTGTGTGTGTACGTGAAAAAATGTTCACGTATACAAAAAGCAGTTCTTTGGAATCAAAAATAAAAAAATTGGGCCAAATAAATAATTTTAAGACCAATATAAAAATAAAGAAGAAATAGAAAAGAAAATGCAACAAAACAGAAAAAAGAGAAAAACAACCAAAATGGCATTTCAAAGATTCTACCACACTCTCCATAAATAAAACGGTGGCCGCTCACAACTTTTTTTTTTCTTGTTGTTGTCTTTTGTATTCCCTCTGAGAAAAAGTCAAATCGACCTTTTTGCTTTTCTGCTGCTTCTATTGACTTTCTCTCTTTTGGCCATTTACATCAGAGAAACTGGGTACTCTCTCCTGCATATATACACACATATATGTATGTATGCATCTGGGCAGACCTGTCACTGCCAATTTTCTCATTTCCCCTTCCATCTCTTCTTCCTTCCGTCTCCCCTTCTATATGACACTCCAGTAGACAGTCACTACCGCGTAAATGTGTGCGGAGAGGTCATGTGCATGATTAACCCAGCCGTCAGCTTGGTTATAGTAGCAACTGGAACACACATGAATTCCAGCTCCACATTTCCGCATAATCATGCAGTGTACCACATACTTGTACGGACGGCGCATTCCCAGCAGCTTCTCCATGATGCCATCGCAAATGAGCTGGATCCATCCTTGAGCTTTAATATGGTCGTAGCGCTGAGCATCATCCTCACCGCCCTCATCATCAAAGTAGGGACTAAGAACCTGCAATATGATGTTCTTCACATCATTCGGCGGGATGCCGCTGATTTCCATAGCGTTATCGTGATCCGACGCCTTCTCCGCCTCCTCTGGATCAGCGCTGTCCGGGTCGTCATGCAGCCCCACACCAGGGTGCGTCACAGGCGTCAAGGTGACACTCACTTTTTTTGGTTCAGCAGGCTTTGCTTCTTCAGCACTGATTTCAGGCCGTGTCTCCGCCTTCTCTTTGCTCTGCGTGGGAATTGGGGGATCCACTGCGACATCTTGCGCTGACGTCGTATCCGACGGAGTTTCTGCAGACATGAAGGGTCTCCCTTAAGAAGTGCACAAAGGAAGCGCAACGGGAGGACATTTCACATTCATCAGAAAAGGGAAAGTAGGCAACCAAGCAAAAATAAATAAATAAATAAACAGACACAGAGATGATAACGCAAAGGGAAGAAACACACAGTAAAAAAAAAGAAAAAAAAAACAGAAAAAAAAATCAAAACGCCGTTGGTTTCACACAAGACTACGCAGTCGTGTCATCTCCCTCGCCTCCAGCCCCAACACAGAAGCACAGTAGTCCGCGCGACGCAAAACCGATTGCAGGAATTCCCGGAGCCTCGCAGAACTACCACGCAATGAGACTATGCCAACGTCGCCTCCCCCAGCGACGCGAATAATCCGCCAACGATGCAGATCAGCGATGGCAACACGAAAGGCTGCGCGGTCAAGAGCAGCGGCTGCTTGGGTCCCCATCGAAGAGGAAACGTCCTCCAGCAGGTCAACAACAGTCCGCGCCACTCCCGCCTCGTGCCGCAAGTACACGTACACCAAGACAAGAAAAGTTTCGCGGGAACAATACCCCAGGTCCACAAGTCGGCAATCCGATAGCAGGTCGTCAAATAAAGGCTGAGGGCCACGAAAAGACAAAGATGACGCCGATGCCGCCGTCACCGCAGTCGCCCCAGTTCCATTCCGAAAAGGTTTCTTGGAAGTAGTCGATAGCCATAACGCCCGCACCGCTTCTGGAGCAGTAGTAAAGGCTCCCCGCAAACTCTTGCTTCCCCCACTCTTCTTCAAGCGACCCGTCAACCACAGGATGATGTTTCTACGACTTGTCTCATGAAGGAAGGCAAGATTGCCAGAACAAACATCGCCAAAGGCGGAAGTGACAGACGCCATAACCCGTCCTGCTGTAGCGCCCAAACTCCTTAGGTGCCCAGAGGCTTGTGTAATCCGTCCCGCAAAACAACTGTCGTTCACTGATTCGTCTTGAAACTTGAAGGCACTGTCTAGTTCCGCTCTGGCCGCCGTCAGCATCTCCAGCATTGTTTCCACCAAAAGTTGCGCTTCAGCATTTGATGAGGCGGTGAATGTACCCAACGTCTCACTACCCTGCTGTTTCCATCCTTCCTGTGCGGCGCTAACGACATCAAGGCGCCACCCCGTGTGAGGAAAAAGCAAAGTTTCCACCCTACTCCTCAAGGAAGTCTCAGAAGAAAGAGTTTTTTTCTTTTTACTTTCCCTTTTCTTTGCCGCCGCACGACTTTCAAGTAAGCTTTGCAGGGATTCCTTCACCTCCACGAGGCACGCCCTAGTCACGCGGTCAGCAGTCCACGGAAGCAATGGGATGCAACGCGTTTCACACGTGAGTCGGCTCGAGAGGCGCTTCTCCAGTTGACGAATATCGGGTGTGGACGAAGTCATGACAAGTGACATTCCACCTCCTCGGCCATCACTTTCATGCATAAGTCCAGACAGCACATACAAAAGTTGGTCACACCAAATACCAAATCGTTCTACCCGACGAATGCAAACAACAAGATTCGTGCCATAGCTTTTCATCAAAAGAAGAGATCGCTGCAACGCTGGCAATGCACTAGAAACACCTCCTGTGGCACATGCCATGGTTGACGTAACCAAAAGCAGACTTTCATCGCCGTCGATGCTTTCATCTTCACTACCGGAGTCAATGGGCGATGGCGAGCGAAAACGCTTTCTCGTGGCCTTTTTATCATTCTCTTTCCCGGATTTGTTTTGCCGGTTCGCCGTGGTTCTCCTTCGTGTCGTCGTGTTGGCATCGTCATTGTCGCTCTCCCGCTCCCCAGACGCGGCGACGTCCCGCTGCAACAATTTGGGAAATCCAAAGAGTAACCCAAAATCAAATGTCCCAGTACGCAAAGACCAATCAGCCGCTCGTAATCGCGACGATTGTGGGCTCTTTAAAAACGCAAGAATTTGATTCGCAATGGAGGAAAGGCCATCCTCGTCGCCGTTCAGAGTATCACCGTCAAGATAAAGAACAAGTGTCCCATCACGCTGCCTACATTCCTTTGCCACGAGTCGAAGGATGCGATGCTCACCACAACCACGTGGTCCCCAGAGAGCATGACAGGAACGATGTCCAAGTGTACATGAAGCCGTAATGGCACTAAGAACAGAACGGTAGGCCTCTTCATGCATACTGAACTCATCACGCTTTCCAATATCCTCCGCACGTTCGCCTCCCGTCTCTAGGCGTGTTGGGGAGCGTCCTCGCCTCGCCAGGGTAAGAAACGATTTACCTGTGTGTGCTGTGAGTTGAGCCAATACGCGGCAGCAGTGTAAGGAAAGCCGATACTGGATATCCGCAAGAAAACACTTAATTTCATCTTCCTCAGAGGGCTGGAAGCCCAAAGATGTCTTCATTACGAAAACCACAGAAACTTCTTTCCCCTACACAACCAATGTTCTGCGGTGACACAATAGACAAGGATAAAAGCAAACAACAGCAATAAAAATAAAAAGAGAACCGCCTGGGCTGCTGGCCCAATCCTAAACTTGCCTCTATAAACAAAATAGGACGGAAAAAAGAACAGCAATAGAGAGCCAGTGGCCTCGCCACGTCCTCGATATATTCTCCAATTATACACATTCGGAAGGCCACTGCCGTGACACGTTGCGGTCTATTCAAATTGGAGACATTTATTCCTTAGGAAATGGCAGACATCGGGGATCTCCGGCCAGAATAAACCGTCGCGAGGTGGGAATCAAAAAAGGCTGAGTGAAATGGCCAAAAAAAAAAAAAAAATTAGCAGCAGAAAGATCGCCAACAAGAAGTAATAACCATTCCGGTGAGAATCTCCGCCCTCTGAAATCACCCCGCCGGGAAATAGTGCTCGCGGTGCGGGGTGTTAGACAAAGGCGTCACGTGGAGTGCGAGAAACAGGCGGGGAACATGTGAGACACTGTGGGCGTGCACACGGGCGTACGGGAGGGGGAAAGAAGACAAAAAAAAAGGGGTGTGTGGAAATGGGTCGCTCAACATTTGTACACATTCAGGAGTCCTCATCAATGTGTCGGTCCGCCTGTCGTTAGACAAGTTTTTCATCATTGCGGCCAGCAATGCAGTCCGTCGTGCGTGGAGTAGAAGCAGGTGATGTCAGCAACGCATACGGATTGTCATCTTTTCTTGTCAGCGCACAGTGCTCTGATTATGGGATCCGTCTCTGAATATGTCATCATGCCGGCAATAAGATTCACACGCCGGTGAAGGCGACTCTCGGAAAATCACCACCCACAGTGCGCCACGAAGTAGGCAAGGCACCGTGGCTACGGATCTCCTCCCGCGCACGGCAGCCGCAAGCCACGCAGCGTTGCGTCAGCAGAACGCAGTATTGACCGCGTCTGTCGTTCTTGCTCAGCACCAAGCAAAGCTCAGTCGCGCACTACAACTTTTGTCTTCATTCGCAAACGCACTCGCTGGCCACGGCTGTCCCAAAACAGGAGGAAGCAGAAGAGGAGTGGGCAGACGCCTCGGTGTGGATCTCCGCCCCATATATCACTCCGCAGTGCAGGGAGCGCCGCAAAGAGGGAAAAAGAGGAAACAGCCGGCTCGGCACGCAGGTGTCGCACTCCTCTTTCTCCAACTCTCGCTCCGCATGATTGACGCACAGGCGGAGACGCACCACCAGGCGCTGGTAAGTGGGAGCCTACACGACACTTCCCGTACCGCATCCAGCGCAATTCAAGGCAAAGTGACAAGAAAAGCAAAAATGTGGCCATGCAACGCTAAGCTCCCTTGTGGATGGTCGAAGGGCATATCTTCCTCATCGCCGTCACCAATTCTTCTTCCAATGCGCTTTCTCGCGCAGGGGGCGCCACAAGCTCATGACGCGTGCTCGAGATCCCACGCACAAAAAGGTTGTGAATGGAAAGACAGAGAAGAAGAGAAGATACAGACGGGTTACTCGCATTCAAAAAATTCAGTCAGAAGCATAAAGTTGCTTGCTCAATCATGATTGATATTCAGTGCGCACTACAACTGTTCCTTCATCACAAAGCAGCAACGACAGTAATAACCATTCCGGTGAGAATCTCCGCCCTCTGAAATCACCCCGCCGGGAAATAGTGCTCGCGGTGCGGGGTGTTAGACAAAGGCGTCACGTGGAGTGCGAGAAACAGGCGGGGAACATGTGGGACACTGTGGGCGTGCACACGGGCGTACGGGAGGGGGAAAGAAGACAAAAAAAAAGGGGTGTGTGGAAATGGGTCGCTCAACATTTGTACACATTCAGGAGTCCTCATCAATGTGTCGGTCCGCCTGTCGTTAGACAAGTTTTTCATCATTGCGGCCAGCAATGCAGTCCGTCGTGCGTGGAGTAGAAGCAGGTGATGTCAGCAACGCATACGGATTGTCATCTTTTCTTGTCAGCGCACAGTGCTCTGATTATGGGATCCGTCTCTGAATATGTCATCATGCCGGCAATAAGATTCACACGCCGGTGAAGGCGACTCTCGGAAAATCACCACCCACAGTGCGCCACGAAGTAGGCAAGGCACCGTGGCTACGGATCTCCTCCCGCGCACGGCAGCCGCAAGCCACGCAGCGTTGCGTCAGCAGAACGCAGTATTGACCGCGTCTGTCGTTCTTGCTCAGCACCAAGCAAAGCTCAGTCGCGCACTACAACTTTTGTCTTCATTCGCAAACGCACTCGCTGGCCACGGCTGTCCCAAAACAGGAGGAAGCAGAAGAGGAGTGGGCAGACGCCTCGGTGTGGATCTCCGCCCCATATATCACTCCGCAGTGCACGGGGCAGCACGGTGCGAAGCGGTTGGAGGGGCGTCCTGCAACGGCAGCTCAAAGAAAAGCACAAAGATAGAAAAAAAGAAAACAGCCGGCTCGACACGCAGGTGTTGCACGGAAAGAGACGCATTTTCATTTATTGTGTATGCTTCCAATTACTTTGGTCTTTCTTATAAATTCAAGAAGAAAAAAGAAAAAAGAACGAATGATTATACTATTTTCCTTTGGTCGTTTTCAGTGTATTCTCCCATTTATTAGTTGTACAATTGCCGTATATTATATGAATATGTTTTTATACACAACACCTCTAAAACATGTGTGTCCCTGTGGGTCATGTATGTAGTCTGTATAAGTGGTTGCAAATAAAAGCAAATGTTGTAAAAGAAATAATATGATTGTCCCACACTTTTTTTAAAAAAATAAATAATAGTTTGCGCTTGGTGTTTTTTTTTTTTTTTTTTTTTTTGCGTCACTGACTAATTATCTCCGTGTCAAACGCATTTACAGCCGGAATGGTGTACGCAAATGACGCCCAGACTATGCCAAGATCCCAGACAACAGCCATTTCTTCGTCGCTGTTTTTGGATTCTGTGAAAAAAGACTCGTTTGTTGGTAGAGACAAAAAATCCCGCCGTTTATTTTCTTCTCTCGCGGCAATGATTTGTTTCGCGAGCGCAGTCGTCAAGTGTGGGACTTCTTGGGGATTTGTGCACGCCTCATCCAGACGGTGTCCTGCTTTGTATACGTGGCGATCCACTTTCGGACAGTCGTCATCGGCGTTATGATAGTCGTCGGTGTCACTGTTCGGGTCTCTTGTGATTTCCCTGCGGCGAGTTGTTGCTTGCGGCTGCTCATGAACTGGAGAGTGTCTCTCAAGTTCGTCGCGGTCATTCAGAGTCATTGTTACCGTCTCACCAGAAGCCAATTCTTTCATTGAATCGCTGTGTTTCAATGCGGGGTCTAAAGGTGGAGACGTCGGCGCAAATTCCACGGTGCAGGCGCAATGGTGAATGAAGGATGTGATGAAGGCAGCCGCAGAGAGCGGAGAGGGAACGGAAGCAAAAAAATTTATGACACGTTCCCGTTCCTTCGACTGTTTTTTGTTTGTGGCGTCTGGGCTTCGCTGCTGTTGCTGCTGCCGCGACCAGTCCCGCATGAGTCGCACAGCCTCGTTGATGTCGATAAAAATCAGCGCTTTCGAGGAATTCATGCACGAGTCGTCATCGCAGCGAGGCAATTCTTCATCATTCGAAAAACTTTGTTGGAAGTTCAGGACACCGCGGCGCCGCGGGTACATGTCCCACGTCGATGTCTCCTGCAGCACAAACACAACTTCATCGCGAAGCAAACCGGATCCCTCTAAAGCAGCCAACACATCGTCTTTACTGCCAAATTCTGGCGAGGAGAAAATGCCCCGCAGCGTCGCATAAGAGAGCGGGCACCTTTGCAATACGGCTTCACGTGACATCAAGAACCATCGCGGCGCCTCGTGGAGAAAAAATCCACAGCCATCGTAAGACACGGAGAGCTGAACCACCTCTCCACCGCGGCGAATGCGCAGTCGACGCTCGGGTAGCTCGGCCACCGCAAACCAGCATGTGCTCCGTGGCGGAAAACAAGTTCGATCATCCTCGCCAGTGTCCATAAGGCGTGGGGTCGCCACGGGAGTGCCTGTCGCGGAAAAGGGATCACCGGTGGATGCCCAGTAGTCGGCAGAAGCAGGCAACGATCGCAATGAAAAGAAAATTTTGTTGTCGTTCGCAAGATAATGACATACCGCCTCCGCGTTAATTAAAGCCACTTGAGTTTCCAGAATGAAATGATGAATGTCTTGCAGACGCAGCACCGAAGGGTTACCAAAAGGATCCACGTGTGGCGTTACCCACGCACTCCAGTAGCCCGCCGACTCCACCGGAAATGGAACACACTTTGACTGCTCTGCTGCCAGTGTAGCATCCTCAAAGTACCATCCGTGCTTCCGCCACCGAAGTTGCAAGTGATGTGACGGTAGCGATTGTTGGGTTTCCACTTCGGGATGGAATGCAACTCCAACTGGATTGGTATCAAAACCAGCAAAAGAAGCGGACACGCGCGCTTGCTTGCATAGAAGGCAAAACTCATTTTCGGTGCGTCGTAGCTCTTCCTGCAGACGACGCGTCCTCAAGCAATCTGTAAGATTCACGCGTGACTCACACCGAAAAATTCGGATATTAGCAGTCGGTGTCTGAGTGGGCGCAACAGCAGTGACGCTGTTTCTCGCGGTTTTTATCTTGCCGCCTTGCGAGTTCCCATCGACGGAAGCAGAAAAGGGTACTGCTTCAATGTCGTTCTCCGCATGGAGTGCAAATGGCAGGCAGCACGGCACAAACAACGGTGATTTGTATCCATGTCTCTGTGTAAATTCCAGCAACGCGTCCTTGGCCTCGCCAGGGCAGGCATAACACGGACGGCGCACAAGTGGAACAAACACCGGGTTGGCCATCAGTCTTCGTTCATGGCTGTCAGCACCACCGTGCACATGGGGCACGGCATGCGTGGCGGCGATGTCGGTCTTTCCCCGTACCACCAGAGAGTTGCGGGGAAGCAGAATCTGCGGAAAAGAAGGGTAGGCGCGACGCAACGCCTCACCCAAACTACGAGACGATATGGACGACATCCACAGTGTCTCCTGCGCCTCCTTTTCCTTCGCCGTCCTCTGGAGGAGGCATCCACGTGGAGCAAAAGAAAAAAAAAGAAAAGAAAAAAAAATTGCGGAAGCGGTGCAGCATCCACCACCCGCGACAGTTGGAGGGGGAAAGAAAAAAAAAAGAGGGAAGAGGGATCCTAAAAGGCAAAAAAACAAACAAAAAATGCCCCAGGGCGTAAATATTCACCGCTCCACTAAAAAACCTCCAAAAAAAATTTTTTTGTGCTAACGAAGACAAAACAAAACAAAAAAAAAAACCAAACCAAAATTTCCCCTCCTCCCCTGCCGTCCCCACACGTGACGCGCAGTTCCGTCACAGCCACACGAACGCATGCCACCGAAACTTCGGCCCAGACAGGGAGTCACACACACAACCCAAAAAAAAAAAAAAAGGTGTATCTTCTTCATTCAGCACTTGCTTGACTCACGTGACATCTACTCGCCGCTGTCCTCTGCAACACGGGTCGTGTCGGATTTTTTTTTTCTCTTCGCTTGTGTGTTTAGCTGCCACACTTGTGATGCGTCCACACACACACACCACACACGTACGCACACAAAAAGCAAAAAAAAAAAAAAAGAATTCACAATTCAAAGAGAAGACGAAAGGGACACAATCCGTCCTACCGAGGCGGAAAGAAAAAAAAAGGGCAGGAGAGAGCGGGGAATGGGCTGCGCGAGAAAGAGAAAACAAAATGCGATAAAACCTCAATCACACGACGCTGGAGCGTTTTTTATCGCCAGCTCGGGGGAGGGGAAAAGAACGCATCTGAACGCTCCCCCTTTCCCCGGTGGCCTCACGGCGTCTTTCTTCATTCGTCTCGCCCCCCACCCGCCCACCCCCAAATCCTCGCGTCGGACTTCTCCGCGAAAAAATTTCTTCACACGACGGTGGCGTAAGAAAAGTGCAAGTTTTGTGCGCGCATGCGAACAAAACAACCCACAATAAATGCATGCACATATAACGTTTTACAAACTGGCCCAACAGGCAAAGAAAGGCAACGTCATGATGTGGAAGGGGAAAATAATACCCGTCAAAAGACACTGAAACCAAACGAAAAAAAAAAAAAAAAAAAAAGAAATGTCCGTGCATTGTGTGTAGGCAGACAATGTCGACAACACACACGTCCATGTTGCTTAGTAAAGGCTGAAAACAAAACAAAAAAAAACAGAAACAAAAAAAGAATGGCGGAAACAATATATATTTATTTAGGTACGTAGGTATGATGCTCCCGTGCGGACAGCGAGAAGTAAAAAACTATATATATATTATTCTTCTTTTTTCTCTCGCCTCTCATCAATTTCTCTACGCTCCCCCTTTTTTCACCCACAACAAAAACAACACTCCCACCCCCTGTCCGCAGACCTCTCTCTCTCTCTCTCTTTCTCTGCACCACACATATAATTAATTGCACGGCAATTGGCGCACACAGAAGAGAGGGGCGCACAAACTCGCTGTCACCAAATATATATAATAAATAAAAAAATAATAATAATAATAAAACGCCATAATGCCCCGTTTACCAATGTCCTATTTGCCCGCAATAACTCTCAACCGCCATCACGTGTTGTCACCAACTCTTTGCTTCCTTCCAGTATGTTTGTTAGTATCCTTCACAAACATCAGACAAAAGCCAATCGTGAAAATTCCCCCTTCCAAAGAGATTAAAACAAGGGAATATAAGGTTTGAGTGTGTGTATATATATGTATATATAGTTTTTTTTCTTTTTTGGCAAAAACATAAGAACTAATACAAATGTGAGAAAACAAGGCGTTAGTAAAATAAGCATCAGAATAAAATAAAGGAACTTGCACGGTGCAGGTTTTCAATGCTCACAAAAAGGCTCCAGTGTACATATTTTGTAATTGTGAGGGTTTCAACAGCATAAACTCCATCGATCCAACTGCCTCTGAAGGGCGCAGATGGAAAACACCCAACTGGTGTCTCTCATCCCCTCTTTTTTGACCTTTTTTTTTGTTTTTCTTTTTTTCCCCTTTCTTCTCTCGGCCGGTAATGGTGAAGGGTTTTCATCCCGTTTTTCTCAGCTTCTCATGTTGTATTTCCTCTGAACCCCCCCCCCCCCCCTCTCCCTTCTTTTTAACATTTCTGTCCACACATGCACGCACATATTTCTACAGAGAGGAAGTTTAGATATCTAAAGAAATACATGAGCACACACAAATGCACATACGAAAAAACAGGAAAAAAAAAAAAAAAAAAAAAAAAAAGAAGAAAACTATACCCCATGCATCCACGTATGTAGGCAGACCTATTCACCTACACATATCCGGTGTGTCTTCGCCTCTCTCTCTCTCTCTGTGTGTGTGTGTGTGCCCCGATTTGTTCTTTTGTTGGAGCAGCCAAATGAAACATCAACCGGGGTGTCGAGTTTGCTGAGCCACCCGCCACCGCAACGAAACAAACAAAAGAAGACGGCATGTCCCGATGGGGAGAAGTAAAAAAAAAGAAAAAAAAAAAAAAAGGCAACAGAAAAGACACGCGTATTTTGTTGTTGTTTTCCCTCTCGAATATATAAAAAAAAAAATCCCTACAAGTATAAAATTGCGGGAATAAAACGTCAAACCACCCGCAATTTCGTCCCCGTCCCCACCAAAAAACAAACACAAAACAGAGGCATAAAATAAAATGAAATAAAAGAGCCAAACAATCGTTTTCCCGTCAATTAGACATTTTTTTCTTTTTTCTCTTCTCGTCTCATTGCGCCTGCGTGTAGATGTGACGGGAGGGGGAGGAGGAGTTGTGGCAACAGGCCCAAGTGCGGCAACATCCAAATTTTATTTTATTTTTATTTTTTATTTGTTGTTGCGTGTGTCTTCTCTCCCCTTTTCTTCTTCTTTTTTCTGCCTTTTTCTCTTCGGTCCACCGCCCCTCCCACACACACACAAAAAAAAAAAAAAAAAGTAGCGTGACAAGTGCACAGACAGACAGAAATACACACAAAAAACAAAAAAAAAAAAAAAAAAAAGAACGTTTTGTGTATTCGCTACATCGCAATCGCATGAAAAACAACAACAAACAAACAAAGAAAGAAAGAAAAAAAGAAAACAATAATTCATTTCATTTTTTTTTTTATTTTTTTTTGCTTTTAATACTCAAATTTCCGTTTTCTTGTGCGTGCTCCGAAGCAGCGCATCTTTTTTTTTTCTTCTTTCATTTCTCTCTTTATTTCATGTTGATAACTCGCAAATATATTCATTCACGCATTGATACATAACCCGAAAAGGAAAAAAAAAAAAAAAAGGGTTTTTTTTTTTTCCGTTTTTATGCACATACGCTCACAGTACGCCTAATAAATATAAATATAAATATATACGAC